ACTTCTCTTATGCATTTACTTGACATTCATTTTCAGTATGATTCACTCATCTAATTGATAGAGCTTATTTTTAATCACTTAGTAAAGTTTGTTCTTTAGGTATAGTAAGTGGACACATTAAAAGAAAAAAAATTATAAGCAGCATTAGAAATAATTTCACACATATTCTAGTTCGTAAATAGATGTTGACCTGACTGCATATATGCAACCAGTATGAACATGGGTCACACTGCAGTTCAGTGTAGCAGTTGGGAGCATAGGTCCTAGATTCTGGCTCTGCTGCAGATGTCAGCTGTGTAATACTGTGGACTCCTCTCTGTGCCTCAGTCTACTCATTATAAAATGAGGATAATAGTACATATCTCGTAGACTGATTGTGAGTCACATTAGTCCTTATAGGCAAACACTAAGACACTATTTGGCACATACTAAACGCTCAACAATGGGTTGGCTGCTACCGTTGTTGTCATCTCGATTGTGATTAGGATTACTATCATGATTACAGAGCTACTGAAAGTCAAATTTGTTCGATCTTGATTTGTCTAACTGCTTTCTAAAAATTTTTTATTCCTCTGTGAGTGTGCTGCACTTTCAGGCCCAAGAAAAGAATCAGACTGGGTTCTTTAACAACGGATCAGGGTCCCCCATGAGGAGCGAGCCGCACTGCAGTCACTACTGAGGTGGGGAAGAAATCTGCTACAAGCCTTGCAGTACTGATTCCTGCACCGCGGAGAGGTTGAAAGAGGTCCTTCCAAGTGCCCAATCTAATAAGTGATTACGTGAATCATACAGGGGTTCCTTTCAAGCTCTGGATCCTGTGACTGTTTACCAGGTTTCACGTGCAGTGTTAGCAAGTGGCCATGCCAGGAACCTGCAGTTACACTCTGAACTGGGTGGGAACTCATGCTTTCACTGAAAAACAGGAATCTTTCATTTCCTCCTGTGTTCTGAAGAGTGAATTTCCACAGAAGTAAACCAAGTTTGGTGACTCAAGTCTCTAAGCAATTCGAGAGAGGAAATTGCGAAATTGTTGAGAGAAAGTACTTCCAATTTGCCAAAAGGGGGAGCACCGGAGCAGAAAGCATAGGTGTCCAAGTCTTGTTTGGATTCTGTGTTTTAGTTTTTATTTCTTTTGCAAGGATGGGATGAGACTAAACGACAGGTATAGCCAATTTCTCTTTGTAAAATTGTCTTAAGTCAGAAGAGACAAATATTGAAAATATACAGTTAACTTTGAATGATCCCTCTCTATCTTTCTCACGCCCGGCTGCCACACACCCACAGCTCTCATTAAACTGCTCTCATTAAAAGGAAAAAAAGGAGAAACAATTATATATTCAACAAAAATGTAACTTTATTTCTCTCCTAGCTGCCACAGACTGTTTAAAAACACGATTCGTTGCATATATAATTTAGGTCTCACCTTTGCTACAATGGAGAAGCTATTGATATAACTGAGTTGAATAAAAGTTACCCACTGCCTAAGGCTAAACACTCCTTCCTGCCAAGTAAGAGGAATGATGTAAGCGCCTAGAACCCTTTGTAGAAACAAGTCTTTGATTCACACTCATTAGTCATTAACCTTGGGTGAATAAAATGCTTGTCTTATTGAGGTTTCTATAAAACACACATCTCCATACGAACTCATTTTCCAATACAAACTTGATCTGTCTTTGTAAAGGCAGCTTTGGCAAGCTACCTATTTGTGCATAGTTTCAAGTTCAATTCAGGAGAAATCAGCAAATTTATATATTTTTGGTAACATGTGACTGAAAAACATATTCAGTTTCTTATTTTACTCAAATTGCCCTTTTATCATGTTAGCTTAAAATGGTAACAAACAAACATACTTGGAAATGCAGAATGGAAAAATTTCCATATGTTTTATATATCCTAATATGAAAATTGACCATCACTACAAGACACAAGATAGCTGCCCCCAGTGGTCAAAGATGGCTGCCCCTATGTGGACACAAGATGGCCACCACAAAATGGCCTGCAGGGGAGGGCAATTGTGGGCAGTTAGGGGTGACCAGGCCAGCAGAGGAGGGCAGTTGGGGGGTCCAGGCCTGCAGTGGAGGACAGTTGGGGGGACCAGGCCTGCAGTGGAGGACAGTTGGGAGAGACCCAGACCTGCAGGGGAGGGCAGTTGGGGGAGACTAGGCCTGTCGGGGAAGGGGGGGAGAATTGTGGGCGATCAGGATAGCAGGGAAAGAAGTTAGGGGTGTCTGGGCCAGCAGAGGAGAGCAGTTAGGGATGAACAGGTCGGCAGGAGGGCAGTTAGGGGTGACCAGGCTGGCAGGGGAAGGCAGTTAGGGGCAATTGGGCCAGCCAGGGAGCAGTTAGCATCAACCAATCTGGCAGGGCAGTTTTTAGGGGGTGATCAGGCTGGCAGGCAGAAGTGGTTAGGGGCAATCAGGCAGAGGCAGCCGAGTGGTTGGGAACCAGCAGTCCTGGATTGTGAGAGGGATGTCCAACCGCCCATTTAAACACCCTCAAAGGGTCCCAGATTTGAGAAGGTGTAGGCTTGGCTGAGGGACACCCCCCGTGTATGTGCTTTGACTGGGAATCAAACTGTGACCTTCTGGTTCATAGGTTGATGCTGGCCAGGCTCCACTGTGCTAAGACAATGTGCTAAGACCTTACTGGTATATTCTCTGGACTTGGAAAATCCATGATCTTGGATTTGGTTGGTAATAGATTTAGGACAGACAAGATACTATCCTATTATAAAATTCTTCTTAAAGGACAACCTTTAAAATTGGATTCTTTCCTGAACTGACGCAGAAAGCAAGATAAGCAGTGGCCTTTTGGAATTTACAGTTTATACAGTGAGTCCCATGCAATGGTTGGCAACACTAAGTCGGAGGACAAGAAAATGTGTGAACATAGAAGCAGGTTTTTCAGGCTACATTTTTCTCCTTTATTTGGGCCATCATGTGGAAGAAAGATTATTTTCCAAAACTATTAAGTACTTGCATCAACCAGCCAGCCAGAGCATCCGTCCTGAAGGAAAAATGTAATAGGCTCTTCTTCTGTTAGTGCCAGCTGTCCAAAACTGTTAGAGTTAGTCAACGCTGTTTAATGTTACAATCAAATCTGGACATGAGTGGGAAAGTCACTGTACCAAACCCATTAAGCTGTGTTACTAAATGTCCAATGTTACATAAAAACTATAAATAACTTTGTACTGTTAGGTTTTTTCCCCCAATTTGCTTTTCTTGAAGCAATAATGGTGTTCTGCTTCAGTTAAAGTAATTTTGAAGCTGCCTTAGTGTTTAATCCAAATACTCTTCTGGTGTGGAATAAAATGGCAAGCAATAATCAAGTCAGAATTAAAAGCATTCCCTGGAGTATCTGTTGTTAACAATTTTAAAAATGAAGAGAAGAGCACCAAAAGATCGTGAAGGCTAAAAAATTAAACACAAGGCTTAATCATTTTATAAGTGGACTTTCCTTTAGGAAATAAAATGTTGTTTCTGTAAGGGGTATCTAGCCTTTCTTCAAATATATGCAAAGGATTCATGCTCTCATTCAAGGGCCATCAATCACTTACTATTTAACACTAACAAGCCAGCAGCCAACCCTGACCAAACATGTCTACCTCAATGTTCAAAACCTGACCAGTGAATTAAGGGTTTGTTTCCACACACTGAAACCCAGCCTTGACTCTCTCAGAGCGTGGTTGATCTAACAGCTGAGCTAAAGGCACAAAGGAGGGGGCTGGTGGTTGATGTCTGCGCAACTAGGAGGCTCAAGTAAGCTGAGGGCCAGATCAAACCACTTAACATAGAAATGCTTTGTTTTTTAAAACTTCTTAGAAGTTTCTTCTACACTTACCTGATAAATGATTCTTGGGATAGCTTCTAAATTACCAATAATCTCCATGCTAGTAAGTTTCTCTGATTACCAAGAAAGAAGCTTTCAAACAAAAATTACACATTTGGGAACAAAGATGCAAAGCCATAATCAATGTTTTATATTTTGAGCAGGGGTAGAAACAATTTTTTTCTTCATTAATCCCCCTCCCCCCCAAAAAAAAAGATAGCTAAAAAGAACTAATTAACCTACAATGGACATCTAACAATTTCATATTTGAGTGTCCAAACCTAAAGGGAAAACATTCTGAAATGTACCTGAAAGTTGAAATGAAACAAATGGTGGCATATACATTTAATATCTTTCTTTAAGCAAAAATCAAAGGAATCTTCAAATACCTTGTCCAGATGAAACAGAGACTAGAAGAACCTTGAAGTCTTAAATTTCATTTGGAATCCTGTGCTAACGTTTTAGCACATAACACCTACACTCTGTGACTTTTTTTAAAATTTAAAATATCAGTTCCCAAGACCTAAGTACTATTTTAGATTTTTGATGAAAATAAGTGATAATCCTTAAATTTAATACATACTATAACTGTTAATTAAAAAATAAATTTTGACACAACTATATAATTTTTAAATAAATAGCCATGATATATACACCAAATTTTATTTGTCTTTAATATGAATGTTATTCAAAATGTTAAATTTTCTTGAATTTGACAGAAGAAAAAGATACTGAAGTGAAACTGTAGGAATTGCTGAACTTCAGATAAATGTTTCTTCAAAACAAGAGATATTAGTTCCTAAAAGATTCTTCTAAAGTTAAAAAAAGATTAAGAAAAACATTAAGCCATTGGGTTACTACATTAAAAATAAAACTACATGTTTCTTAATGAACATATGTTTACATTTACATATAGTAAACTTCATCCCACATCTCATAAAACTCAGAAGGCTCCTCTAATGTATAAACTAAGCAAAAATAAAAGCCTTTTTTTCATATTAAATACTTTAAAACCTAAATGTATCTTAACATTATTTCCAAAAAAGCTTAATAGGGAATAGCTAATCCGAAAGCAAAATGCTGCACAAACCACTTTCAAGAAAAGAAATACATCACAGGAGTATGCTTATAGAAGTCGTGCCAGCTAAAATCCCGAGTGACGACACATGAATTCAGAGTATCAGCCGATCCTCTCCTCCCTCCTGAATTACCTGACCGATGGAAGTTTGGTTTTGTTGTTTCAGAAAGCACTGTTTCTTACATTCCATCAACTGTTCAAAATCACGCCACATTTTCACTTGTTTCATATTTGGACCGTGACTTTCTCGGACAGCTTTTTGTTTCTCCCGAAGTTTCTATTGTCAAAAAATAAATAAATAAAAAATCAAGAATAACGAAGTCTCAGTTACAGGGATTTACTTCTATTGCCGTAATCAGAAGAATATGCTATGCTTTGTACACTCTATAATAATAAAAGCATATTATGCTAATTAGACCAGATGTCCTTCCAGACAACCTTCTGGATGAAGCCAGGGCCGTGAGGGAAGCCCGGGTCCCGGGTGCCTGCCGGTGGCTGGAGGGAAGCCCAGGTTCTGGGTGCCAGAGGGAAGCCGGAGCCGGCAGTCGGGAGAAGGAAGGCCTACTCTTGCACAAATTTTGTATATCAAGCCTCTAGTTCATGAATAATAGTCAATTGAATCAGGTTCTTCTATGATGTATGAAAACTGTTATACAAGTTAAATAAAGTTATCATTGATGTAGGACAACCTGAAGTTAAAAAAATTAACACACACACAAAAAAAATAATAAATAAAAGGAGAGGGAAAATAAAGGGAGCCAGGAAAGCAGAACAGAAAAAGAATGTAGAAGACTTGAGTTTCAACCTTGGCTTTGCCATAAGCTCTAAGTAAGGCACTTAATGCCTATAAACTTCAGTTTTCTAAATGGTCAGGTAAGGCCAATAAAAAGGGATACTTATGAAAGTACTAGAGGCCTGGTGCACGAATTTGTGCATGGGTGGGGTCCTGCTGGCCTGCCAGCCAGGAAGAAGGGCCGTGGGTGGTTGGCCAGCCAGTCCCACCCCCGGTCGAAACCCTGGACAAGGGGACAATTTGCATATTAGCCTTTTATTATATAGGATTTGCTTCATAGGGTTGTTTTTTCACATGGCATAATAGATATAAAAAATACATGATAAACTGTCATGTGTTATGTTATTATTAGTATATGCTCTATGTATGTATACATTTCTAAAGGAGAAGTTTAGTGATTTTTTTAAAAGTATACTATTAAATCAGCCCAAATCCTTATTAGAATTATGTTTGTTACTAATAACTGATATGGTTCCACCTACTAAAACTTCTACTCACTAACTCTAAAATTATAAATGGGAATAAGAACATTTTCCAGTAAATTGCAAAAATGTACTTTGGGTCTATAATGTGACCAATTGAGGAAGGGTGATTGAAAGGGTGGGAGTCAAAGACAAAGAGGCAAGAAAGGAAGAAGGAGAGCAGAGGAAACAGGACAGATGACTGCGCACATAAGGGAACAGTGACAGAAATACACTGATACCGAGCGTGGGAAATCATCCAGAAAGACAGAAAAGCAAGCAAAGACAAAAACAGAATACACAGAGGCATCCCCAGCTTTCCCTCTTTTAGGATGTAACTGAGCTGCTGGCTGACCCAAGGATACCAATGAGAAGACTAGTAGTTGATATTTGCCCAAATAAGAGGCTAAACTAAGCTGAGGACCAGATTCAAACCACTCACTAAAAACTGCTCTCTCAGCTATGGCTAATGAAAGCAAAGGTAATAAATAGCAAGCAGCAATAGGAAACAAAACAGAATTAAGAAAATATAATTTAAATATAGCCAGCAAATTTTTGACACAATACCTGGCATGTAACTACACCTACTTAAGTCTATGCTACAAATAAAGTATCTTACAAAAAATATTTTTATTCTCATAAACTAAAACAAAAAGAGATAAAATTTTTAAAAGTTCTGAGCATGATTTTAAGATTAAGTTGCTACTTAAACTGTAACTTTTCTTAAATTATTGGAATAAGTTCCTTGTCAAAATCCTAACAATCTATAAAAGTTATTTAAAGAACCAAAGACAGGATGTGGGTACTGTATCAGAAATATTAAATTTAGTTTGCCTCACACCCACATGTATTTTTTGAAAATATATTTTATTGATTTTTCACAGAGAGGAAGGGAGAGGGATAGAGAGCTAGAAACATCGATGAGAGAGATACATTGACTAGCTGCCTCCTGCACCCCCCCACCGGGGATGTGCCCGCAACCAATGTACATGCCCTTGACCGGAATCGAACCCGGGACCTTTCAGTCTGCAGACCGACGCTCTTTCAACTGAGCCAAACCGGTTTCGGCACACCTACATGTATTTGAAACCGTTAACTTATGAATGCAACTGACTTTCATATATAATTAATTAATTATTTTTTGGTTATTCCTCACCTGAGGGTATTTTTTCCATTGATTCTAGAGAGTGGAAGAGAGGGAGAGGGAGAGGGAAGAGAGAAGAAGTAGGGAGGGAGAGAGGAAGGGAGAGAGGAATGAAGGGAGTGGGGGGAGAGAGAGAGATGAAAGAGAGAGAGATGAGAGATGAGAGAGATACATTTATTGGTTGCCTTCCACACATGCCTGATCGGGGATCAAACACACAACCTGGGTATATGCCCTGACCAGGAAATTAACCCACAACCCTTCAGTCTAAAACTAAAGGGCACTTTTATAAAACTAAATTCCCAAAAAAGTATCTGCATCTTTGAAAAGGCTTAAGAAGGAGCCTATTTCCCTTTGAAAACTGTACTAAAGCCCGGGCTGGTTTGGCTCAGTGGATGGGGCTTTGGCCTAAGGACTGAGTGGTCCTTGGTTTGAGTACCATCAAAGTTTGTGGGTTGGGTCCTCGGCCCTGACCAGGGCTTGTGCAGGAGACAACCAATTGATATGTCTCTATCACACTGATGCGTCTCTCCCCCTTCCTCCCACTCTTTCTAGAAATCAATGGCAGAATATCCTCCAGTGAGGATGAACAAAAGGAAAACAGTACGAAATCTTTATAAATTAATGACAATGTCATGACCATCATAACCATGTACTGAAAACCTGAATTAGACACATTTTTTAAAAATAGCTCTAGCTGGTTTGGCTCAGTGGATAGAGCATTGGTGGACTGAAGGGTCCCAGGTTCTATTCCAGTCAAGTGCATATACCCGGGTTACAGTGTGGGGCATGCAGGAGGCAGCTTATCAATGATTCTCTCTTATCATTGATGTTTCTTTCTTCCTTTCTCTTTCTCTTTCTTTCTTTCTTTCTCTCTCTCTCTCTCTCTCTCTCTCTCTCTCTCTCTCTCTCTCTCTCTCTCTCTCTGTCTCTCTCTCTCCCCCTCCCTCCCTCCCTCCCTCCCTCCCTCCTTCCTTCCCTCCCACCCTCCTTACTTCCCTCCCTCCCTCCCTTCCTCTCTGAAATCAATAAAAATATATTAAAAATAAATCAGTAAATAAAATAAATAATAAATTCTTACCTTTCCAAGATTTTCTTGTTCAGCAATATTTTTGGTATACTGTTCCCTAGAGAGTCAACGTAATAATTTAACTTCAATTGATACATAAAACATTAACATATCTACTTAAATATATTAAACAATGTAATTTAGATTACTGGAATTAGAAGAAAACCCATTATCAAATATTTTCTTTCCTCATCCTTAGTCAGTTTTTAGAAGTAAACAGTAATTTAAGGGGGGGAAAAGACAAGACACTGCATAAAATTAAGAGAATTAAAATGTTAAGTACTATTTCTGGCTAATCTACCCTTAAAACAATGGCAAGACATTTGCTTAAGTTACTTTGCTTTTGAGGAGGTTTGCAAAAGGGAGAAAGGATACATATTAAAATGAACACCAGATAGTATCTAACTCTGAAATTCCAATTCTAGGAAGTCATCCTACAGAAAAACTCTCATAAGATAAAGATATTAAATAAAAACAAAAACCATTTACTTCACTACTGTTTATAACAGTGAAAATCTGCAAACAAACTAAAGCTGATAGATGGAGGAATGTTTAAATAATTATAGAACTCCGTTTAAAGGAATAATAGAGGGCTATAAAAAAGAATGAGGTAGCTCTATAAATACCAAAGTGGAAAGAATTCTAGATAAACTATGAAGAGAAAAACTGTATGTGTAGTTTAATTTTATTTTTATATACACATAAAAATGTTTCCCATGCACTTGCTAGCAAACACACACACACACACACACACACACACACACACACACACTAGCAAATGCATGGGAAAAGAATATGGAATAATGTACATCAAAATATTAACATTAGACATTTCTGAGGCATGGCAATGCGGACAACATTCCATTTTTGTGTACTATATTTCATAATGGTTACTTTTTGTATTTCTTTTGTAATCCAACAAAAACTGCAAAATTTTAATGTAAAAATACAAATACAAATACAAATAACTTTGTATTACATTTTTTAACAAAAGTATAATTATATCTTAATACCACATAGGACAAAAAGTAGATTTAAACTGTTAAAGACCAAGATTTAAAGGATGAAGAGAGACTTTTGACCTCAAATTTAGATGGAAAAAAGACTAGGTTTCTGTGTGAACTACACTATAGTAGGTATTTACAAAGAAATTAGACAACACAAAACTGAGAATCTAAGAAATCACAGACCACAAGAGAAACCCTAGCAGTCTAGGTGAAGGAAGATTCGCATTTCTGCAAAAAGGGAGGTGAATGTGATTAGAATGGAAACAATGGCAGTCAAAAGCACCCCATGTGCTTACAGAGCTGAAGTGAAGGTAGAATTTGCACACAGGAGTGAGGGAATAAACACAATCTTGATGGACCTTCATTTTGCTCTTAGAATTATTTATGAGATACTATGTCAAACTGTTTGCCTTTCCAGCTCTCCAGTGAAATAACAGCCAGGAAGATGTAAATGACATACTAGCTTAAGAAGAATATACAGTTCTAGTTCAAATTGCTTTAAATATTTCATTTATTACCCTAGGCCTGAGAAATGTCCCAATTGTTTTGGAATTTCCATTGATAGTTTATCAGGAAATCAACAGGCTCATACTCTTTTCCAATGACATTAATCCATAATTTTAATTAATTGGAGAGATAAATTAAAATTAAAATTGAGCACCTGTTTATGTACGAAGCATGCTCTGGGCCTTCAAGAAGCAAACAGGCCCAGCAGGTGTGGCTCAGTGGCTGAGGATCTGGGGAAGCACGGGACTTGGTTGGAAAGCCTGAAAGGAGGAGTCTCCAAGAGGTCAGGGGGCTTATAGGGGGACCTTGTGGAAGGTGGCAGCCTCTGCCTTGACTTCTCCAAACAAGTCTGAGCCCCCGGGTGTTTTACTGGGATCTTTGTGTTTAGTCTTTAGATGTCCTTGCTTAAAGGACACTACAGATGCATGTGTCTTCTTAAGGATGCTTTCCCTACTGATAGTATCTAATAGTTTAACATCAGCTGTTGTTACAATAAAAGCCTAAGGAGGTAGGCAAATGGGGCCGTTTGGTTTCTCAAGCCAAGCAGTCCCTTAGCCCTCTCTTTCACAGAAATGTGTAATCATTCATTTGTCACTCACGGTCTGCTGGTCAGCCCTAGCAAGTGTTGACCTATTATATAAACCAGGAAGTCAGGGTTAGATTCCCGGTCAATCCCCAGAAAACTGATCAGGAAACCAATAGTTCAGGAGCAATATTTCCTTCTGGATTACTTATATTGGTAATTTTGAAAGAAATAGAACTTAATTTCTAATATTTTATTTTTTAAGAACAAAATTAACTTCTCACGTTTTTGAAATATTAGCATTGCCCATATAGATTTATTTTAGCTAAGTTTATATTCAATTAAAGAACCTGAATAAGTACATTTAATATGTGTGGTATGTTGGAGTATTAGAAAAATATTCTATTTATAGGATATCTTCAGTCTAGCTTGCATTCCAGTACATCATATATTAAAAAATGTAGACTCTGCCAAGACATTCTCGGTCTTAGATTCCTTCCTATAACATTAATGTAAATGCCACTAGAAATCTCAACTGCAATCTAGAATAAATATGAATCCTACACTTTGAGTTCTTCCTGGATGATAAAAGCAAAACATCTAAAGTGCGCTAAGGGGCAAAGAAAGTGTATCCTGTTCAATTACTGTATTTTATCTCAGCTAGCAATTCAACTATTAATGTATTTGTAAGGCAGCATTTGATTTATTACAGTACGCTGCAAGCTATGATTACCAAAAGAATCACCATATAAGGAGTAGTGGTACTGGCACTGCTTCCTTGTTCTGAAGGCGGGCACACTGCATCACATAGTTTCTAGCTGAAATGCGGTCACTTACACTGCACAATTAGCAGGCAGACTAGAGTCCAAGCCACGGGGGACTTTAAAAACAGATAAACCTTAGTGCTTATTAAAAAAAAAACCACAACTATCAAAGTATATGTATTCCTCACAAGGGAGAATTATTAATGGGGAATTAGTTTTTTAAATATATTTTTATTGATTTCAGAGAGGAAAAGAGAGGGGAAAAAGAGATAGAAACATCAACGATGAGAGAGAGAGGGATCTAGCCTACAACCCTGGACATGTGCCTTTGACTGGAATTGAACCTGGGACCCTCTGGTCTGCAGGCCAACACTCTATCCACTGACCAAACCAGCTAGGGCGAATGGGGAATTATTAATGGTCACAAGAGTTTATAGGTCCATGGGTCTATGGTGATGAAGTTTTGGGAATATATAGTGATGATTGCACAACAATGTGGATGTAATCAATGCAACTGAATTGTATACTTAAAATGGTTACAATGGCAAATTTTATCATATATATCTTTTATGACAACAAAAAAAAGTAAGCAAGCAAGAAAGGAAATTAAACATATTCCTACTTAGTTAACAGGGCTAGACTATCCAAAAGATGTTTAATAAGAAATAAACTTTCATAATATCTTATTATCTACTTATTTAAGTACTCCAAATTTCATAACTCCATTTTACAGTCAAACCTTATTTCTTAAATGTCTCCCATTGTGAACAATTCAGTTCTCACAGGAAAAAAATGTCTCAGTTGTCAGACTAAAACTTCAGCTTTCAACCCGACAACCTTTTCATGCTATACCTCAGCATGACAAAAAGCATCTCTAGGCAATAAATATAGGATAGAATGCTTTTGTTGCTGGCAGAAATCCAAGATTAGCACAATTTTAAAACATAAAGCGGCTGTCAAGAATGCTAACAAAGTGCTCAGAAAACAACAATCACAGACGAATGAATAGGTAGAAAACCTATTCATTGTTAATTGGATAAAGGAAAAGCAGTTAGCAGGTGATGGATAGCATCTGGGAAGCAGTGATATATGAAAAATTCTTTTAAGGCTAGTAGGAGTTGATTCCATAAATTTAAGAAGAGTTTATTTATAGATTAAATAGTACATTAGACATGTACTGTATAAAAGGAAGGTTAAAACAGGGAATAATTTGGGGGACTGGAATGGATAAATTCAATTTACATTATTTCTAATAGGGGAAAATGATTCGGTTTTCAAGCAAATAGTTTTTCGAACAGCTTTCCGAAACAAATTAAGTTCAAGAACTGAGGTTCCACTATATTTATAAAACTTCTATAGGTGAAATATTATGTAGCTCAATATAAAAAACAACAAAATTACTTGCCTAATAGCTTTTCTTTTTTCTTGTTGGTCGGAAGAGACATATGCCTTCATCTCATCAACAGCGCGATGAAGTTGAACTTCCAGGTTCTAAGTAGAAAGACTAAGTTTTATGTTAAGTTCTTGATACAGAAAAACCTCAAGAAAGTTTGTGATTTCCTTTCTTTGTCTCACCTTAATCATGCAATTTGTATAATGGTATTTACTTTCTTCTTGAAGACATTCTTCACGGAGTCCTCTGACTTCCTACAACAAACACGTAATTTTAAATGGCCACCATTACTGAAAGCACTTTTGGGTGCAGAGAGGATGACTGAATGCACAACAAAAGAAATGCCATCAGTCAGTTCCTCTTTTGCAACCGTAATTCTGTTTACTGTAACAGACAAGGCTGCAATCTTTTCTAGAGACAACTGATAGGATCCTAACACTGCACGTTCAGTTATTCATTTATTACATACCTACTATGTGCCCAGCTGTGTGTCAGGTGCTGGGACACAGCAGTGAACAGACAAATAAGTCCCTGCTCTCATTGAAGAAGAAGAAACAGATAAAACAAGAAGGCACATAATGAAGGTCATTTTATTTTGTTTGTTTTGTTTTTTAACTTTTAAAAATCAAAAATAGACCTTTATTTTGAATTACACATCAATTGAATAAGAACAATTTAGAAAACACAACTATATTCTATCTCAGAGATTTCAGTAAGTTACCTGAGACCTTTAGAAAATTTCACTTATCTCAAATTTAGCAGCATTGAACTCAACTTGTTTTACCCTTACCAACTACAATTGCCATTTTGTAAGGAGAAACTACTACAATCAGATACATATTAGGAATATTTCATTGTCTGGTAATTGCTGGATATGGGCAATGCAAATGAGGTATCAATGAGAAAATATATTGCACTCACATTCACAATGAAGGTCGTTTTTGATGGGGATGAACATGATGAAGAAAATTCAGCAGAATGTGACAGGGTGACAGCAGGCAAAGTTAGATTGGGTGACCAGGGGAGATCTCTAGAAGGAGGTGATATTTAGGTGAAACTGGGATGATGAAAAAAGTGATCAAAGCAAAGAGATGGGGGCGGAGGGATGCAAAGAGAGAAGAGCGTGTGCAGAAGCCGGGTGGTGAAAACAAGGTTGGCCTGTTTGCAGAACAAGTAGACTACCCATGTGGCTGGATCCCCTCTGAGCAGAGCAAGGATGTGAAGTTCCCGAGGCAGATGGGGCCTTGGAGACCACAGTTTGGAAGTTGGGTTTTAAGTGCAACAGGAAGACACTAGAGGGTGGCCTACGTTTTACTCTGGTCTCTTTGGATGCTCTCTGAACAAACCATAGGAAGGCAGGTGTGGAAGTGGGAGAGCAGGTGCTGTATTACTGGGGTGTCTAGGAAGACAGGATGGGGGCCTGGATGTGCTGGTAGTGGTGCAGATGGAGAGTTCAGGGTGCACAAACCAAGTCTGAAGAAATAAAGATCTCTGGAAACCAGGAGACAGACTCAGGGGATGAGGGAAAAGACTCGGGAATCTTTTGACACTGGTATAGTGAAAATATACACACACAGACAGTGTTTGCTATTCTTCAACTAAAAACTGTCTTCTTACCTGTTCCAATTTGGACCGATTGCTTTCAAGGCCTGCTGCACAGCTATCATACTGTGATTTCTTTTCATCACACTCCTGGGTTAGTTCCTAGTGCAAAAAGGGTAAATGACTGAGCAAGTGAAAATCAAAGGCCTAAAATGTAGCTCTGACACAATGCATGCCCTTGTTAGTCTCGTAACTGAACTCTAAGCTTCTTGGCATACTTAAGGGTTATTTATACAACAATTAGACATTTGAGAATTATGACAGATGGAGGTGCTGATAAACACAACAGCTACCATGTACTGAGCCGAGTGCCAGGCTTTGTTAGGAGCTAGGGACACAACAGTGAACAAAATAGCCAAAAAATCTTCCCTCCAGTAATGTTTCGGCAAGTATACAGGCTGTTGAGTGCTACGATGGGCAAATGCAAGATGTCATAGGTGACCTGGGACTCTCAGTAGACCTAATCCAGGCTTGAGAATCAGTGAGGACAACTTCCTAGAGAAATGGATATCTAAATTGAGGTATGAAGGATTAGTAAGCATAGTTACAGGGAGGGTGGACAGGGGAGGAGAAGATTCAGAAAAAAGGAACACTATGCCTAGAGGATGAGAAGCTAGAGAGGAGAACCATTTAGGATGTACATGTAATTTATTATAAAGGAGTGTTGTCTGGGAAGTGTGAAACAGGCTGAAGTCTTTGGCAGGGCTCTGTTCAGAACTCTGTAAACCATGTTAAGGTGTTTGAGCTTTATCCTTGATAATAATGCAATCTTACAGCAAGTCCTTGAGGTATTAATCTCATGTCATGCCTGCAGAAAGTTCAGGGGGGCTAAGTATCTGGCCAAAGATTATATTGCTGGGGAGGTGTCAGAATTTGCACTCAGGTTGTTTGAATAGTTTCAAATTTCTTCTAATGCAATATTTTGAATTAGACAACCTGAAAATATACTACAAACACCTAGAAATGTTAAAAGTATAAATGCTTGATAAGGTAGAGTAAACATCCTTTCAAATCCAGAGTTGAATGGAACTCTCAAGGAAGTAAGGGGAATTACCAGAAACAGAAGATGACACCCAGGAGCTACCCTTGGTGAAGAGAGCTGGGAACAGCCAGTCGTGGTAACAAAAGTGACTATAATGTCCAGGCAGGGCAACGGACAAAATCCTAGGCCTGTGCAGAGTGCAGAGTTAGAACTGAGAATCCCATAGTAAATCCAAATGATTGTTGTTGTTTTTTAATATATATTTTTATTGATTTCAGAGAGGAAGGGAGGATAGAGATATAGAAATATCAATGATTAGAGAGAATCATGGATGGCTGCCTCCTGCATACCCCCTACTGGGGATAGAGCCCACAACCCAGGCATCGAACCTGGAACCCTCAGTACGCAGGCTGAAGCTCTATCCACTGTGCCAAACCAGCTAGGGCTCCAAACTGTTTTTCAACCCAGAGACCCATGAGAAAAAGGTTAATCCCAGGCCTGGACTGATGTAGCCAGCCTCAGAATGACCTTGGTTTCACACTGCAGTTTCCTTGGGAACAGGCGAGTTAACAGAAATGGTAAGTGAGGAAATGATAAGTGATCATTTCTGTTGTGTGTGCTTCCTTTGTTGGGTGGGACTGCATCTAGTTTAGGGTGACTAACAAAGTATAAAAGACTGGTGGGAAAAGGAGCTATAGCCTTTATGTATTGAAGTGACCTACAGACGCCAAAGGCTCTCATGGGTCACAGCCATACCCACTCTCACAGAACAAGGGGCGACAGAGCTATGTACTCAGGCAGCTGCTGTGGCCTTCGGATGAGATGAAGATACTTTAGGAGATGAAAGCCTTTGTTTTGCCTGTGAGTCTGCTGATCAGTAAATTCGGCTGTGCTACTGCAGAGGTGGATGGGAAAAGGCCAGGCAGGTGTGGGGTTTGAATTGACTCTACCTTCATGGTCTAAGAACTCCCATGCTGAGACATTAACTCGAAATTAACTCTCAGTTTGTGATCCTCCCAAAACACCTGGCAGAACGACCGCAAAACCAGTCTGAGGGACACACCCTCACTCCCAGCTGCCAGGATTCAAGAGACAAAACCTCGAGGAGGAACCAAGATGGTGACATAGGTAAATGCTTCACTTGCTGCCTCCCACAGTCACATCAAAATTACAACTAGAATACAGAACTATCATCAGAACCGCGGGAAAGCTGGCTGAGGGGAAGTACCACAACTACGGAGGAAAAGAAGAAAACACATTGAGATGGTAGGAGGTATGGAGGTGCAGAATGGGCTGGTCCGGCCCGGCACCCTGGTATGCCACTTTTTGAATCGGGAGTGGAGGAACAAGAGGTCCCAGCCCCACATCAGACCTCCAGTCCAGGGTTCCAGAGCTGGGGAAAGAAATCCAAACCAGTGTGGATTGGGGCAGAGTGACACATAGGCTGTTGGAGACCCAGTTGCTCCTCTTAAAAGGCCAGAACTGTGAACTGAATTTACAAACTTCCTCTGAGCTCCAGTGCTGGGCGAGGCGCTGGGGTACCCAGACACATACAGGAGAAACTGAACTGTCTGGCATCAGGGCAGGAACTTGGGGGTGGCTTTCTTCCAGACGCAGGTGCTCTCAACGGTCATTGTTCCCTTGCTGGGACCTCTCTGGTATAGAGCTGATTGGCAGCCATTTCTGTTTGCTCTGCCATGGTAATTCCTTGAGATCCTACCCCACCCAATTAAAACCCCACCCAGGCTTTTGCATATGAATGGCCTGTCCTTTCTTAGCCTAAAACCTGTCAAACTAGCTGTGTCTGGGTCAGGGAGCCTTAAAGCTATAAATAAAAGGTCCAAGGCCCACACCAGCACCAGCCTGCCTTGCTTCACAGATGGGCCTTGCACGGACACTTCTAAACCTGATACAAAGAAGAGGAATCTACAGATCTCTCTGTAGCTCCTGCTGGGTGGCCACAGGTAGTGGCTGACTTTGCACCTCCTTCAAGACCTAAGAGCCAGCCGAAACCGGTTTGGCTCAATGGATAGAGCGTCGGACTGAGGACTGAAAGGTCCCAGGTTCGATTCCGGTCAAGGGCATGTACCTTGGTTGCAGGCACATCCCCAGTAGTGGGTGTGTATAGAGGCAGCTGATCGATGATTCTCTCCCATCGATGTTTCTAACTCTCTATCCCTCTCTCTTTCTCTCTGTAAAAAATCAATAAAATATATTAAAAAAAAAAAAAAAAAACCCAAGAGCCAGTGTACCTAGTGGTCAGTGTGAGACCATACCAGATTACAACTCTTCATATCCATAAGTGACACACTTAAGGGGCTGACCTTGAGTGGCTGAGGGGACTCTAGAGGCAGGTGTGTGGAGCTGCTGGGCCTGTCTGGGGGTAAGCCCAGCCTTGCTGCATGCCTGCCACCCAGTGGGTCTGAGGGGACTGGGCACTGTCATCCTATGGCTGTGGGTGCCACCATCGTTGAGGGTGTGACAGTCAATTAGCATATTCTCTTCTTATTGGCTGTGGGCACTGCCATCTTTGTGATGGCATGAGGGTCAATTAGCATATCTCCTCTTTATTAGATAGGATTAGATGGTATTTCTCCCATCTCATCTATTAGAGCATCAACTCCAGAGAACAGAGACCTGTCTCTTCCATTCCTTTTGGTATGGCAGTAGTATGTAGTGGAACAAGCAAGGGTTTTGAAATAAGATGATATAGATGCCAAAGTCAAGCTCCAACTCTCCCCACTTCCTCCTCAAGAGTTGGATAGGTCACTAAACCTATCTCAGAATCTGTAGTAGTTTCATAAAGAGAAAATGATGTCTATCTGACTTCTGAATCTATGTGATTTTCTTCCTTCCTTCTTTCCTGCCTTCCTTTCTTTCTTTTTTAAAATATATTTTATTGATTTTTTTATAGAGAGGGAGAGGGATAGATAGTTAGAAACATCGATCAGCTGCCTCCCGCACACTCCCCACCGTGGATGTGCCTGCAACCAAGGTACATGCCCTTGACTGGAATTGAACCTGGGACCCTTCAGTCCACAGGCCAACGTTCTATCCACTGAGCCAAACTGGTTTTGGCTTTTCTTTTCTTTTTAAAAAAAATATATTTCTTTATTGATTTCAGAGAGGAAGAGGGAGAGAAATAGAAACATCAATGGTGAGAGAATCACTGATCAGCGGCCTCCTGCACGCCCCTCACTGGGGATTGAGTCCACAATCTGGCCATGTGCCCTTGGTCAGAATCAGACCAGGACCCTTCAGTCTGAAGGCTGATGATCTAGCCACTGAGCCGAATCTGCTAGGGCCAAATCTGTGTGAGTTTTCATTCTGCTTCTCTGACACTGAGGGATGGCACTTGCCAAGAGTTTCATGGTTCCATCTCAGGCACATGCAATACAGGCCCACATTCAAACCTAAAATTACTACAGGGAGAGTGATTAACTGCCGCTCATGTTGAATAGTATGGGCCACCTGATCTGGCTTTGTGAAGGGCATTTACCTCCTAATAGTTTATCTTTTAAAACAGTGGTTAGAATTAACTTCCAAGTAATGGCATTTCCTCACTTATCATAAGCTATCAGAGTTTGCCCCCCAGCAAATTTTATTGATTTTTTACTTGTCACCACGTGTGGGCTGACTTTGAGCTTCTACCTGGCCACAGAAGAAAGTGACTCCATATTTACAGCTTTCACATGATTTTAAACAAAAGCTCATCTGGCTGCACTTGTGATTTTAGCTTAAACTCCTTTTTCTCCTTCTCTCCTCCCTCTAATAATTTATGACAAACCAAGTAGCATAAATTAAAAATAAACCTATTCAGGTCACATTCTTCTTCTCTTTTGCAGAATCATATCAATATAATAGTAATAATAACAAAATGTGTTTCCCATAAATTACCCAAGTAAAGTATTCAGGATTCTAATTACTATATCTCAACCAGATAAAATAGTTACAGTAACACAATATCAAATTCACCTACTTGACATTTTTGACGCAGTTGTCGTAGTTCTTTTATAACTGGGGCTAGAGCCGACTTCTTTTCAGATACCAGTGAATTCAGTTTTCTTACCTGCCATTTTAAAAAAAAATACATGACATCTTAAAAAAGAATTCAAAAGAACAAAAATACTACGTGCATAAATATATTTATTGAAGTGTTATATATGAGTAAAAAGAGAATAAATTACTTCAATGCCAAACAATAAGGAAGAGATTTGGTAAATCTTGATTCCCCCATAAGATGGGATGCCACTGAATTGTTCAAAATGTCAGATATTAACACTGCAAACCAATATGGAAAAATATTTACAATCTAACAAGTAATGACTAAGATAAACTAAAAGTTGCCTATATACAACTACAATCATGTTGTTATGTAAAACAATATGTAATTATGCAGATTATATAAAATATACATAAACATAAATGAAGTGATATTCAAAATACTTAATAACCCGAATGGCATAAGTAATAACCAATCACAATGGACACTAGCCATAGAGATGAAGGCAGTTTAGCAGGCCTCTACGGTGCTCAATGTTAATCTTTTTTTGTTGTTATTAATCCTCACCCGAGGATATATTTTTTTTGTTGATTTTTAGAGAGTGGAAGGGAGAGAAGCAGAGGGAAAGAGAAACATTGATATGAGAGGGACACATCAATTGGTTGCCTCCTGCATGCACCTCAACCAGGGCAGGGATTGAGCCTGCAACCAAGGTATGTGCCTTTACCAGAATTGAACCTGGGACCCTTCAGTCCACGGGCCAACATTCTATCCTCTGAGCCAAACCGGTAAGGACAATGTTAATCTTTTTATGAGTCAGCTTGTGGTGAGATGCTGAGATTCTGGGCAAGTGGCCAATGTGGATAAGACAGGCTGAGAGTTTGGGGCAACAGCTATTTACCAATAAGTAAGGAAAGTGTTAAACATTCAAATGCCTCATGAGGCTGTATCAGTACATTCTGGCTAAAGAGAGCCTTAAATATGGAAAGATATTAAGGACACACACAAAAACAAAATAATTTTATTAGGGTGATATGATTGGAAAAACTTATTTTTTATCTTAAATATTTCCTTAATTTTGTATAACTTTCACACACTTCAAAAACCACAAAATGCATAAATTGTTATAAGTTAACAACCTTACTAGAATGCAAAAATTTAAGAGACTGATACAGATAAAAATGTAAATAATATGCAGAAATGAAAATCTGAATGTTTCACTGAAAACTAGACAAACAAAAATATCTGCCTTCTATACCCAATAAAAAAACACTAAAAATGTGTACTCACCATTTCAGACATGTCATCCAGGGTCCGTCCTTTCATTTCGTCAACTTCACTCTTCAGTGCAGACACTCTCTCCAGCTCTTCTTGGGTGTAACTATATCCAGATATACCCTTTTTCTCCTCAATGGTTTGCTAAAAGTAAAGAATAAATAGAGGTTAACCTATGAACCAAGAGGTTCGATTCCAGATCAGGGTATATGCATGTGTTGCAGGCTCAGTCCCCAATAGAGCAGGAGGCAGCCGATCAATCATTCTCTCTCATTACTGATATTTCTATCTCTTCCTCTCCCTTTCTTTCTGATAACAATAAACATATATTTTTTTTAAAAATGGGGCCACAAATTTGATGTCAAAACCTCAATGACTCCATGAGAAGTATACATTTTTAATATATAATATTAAAGTTATAAATGAAATAAATTAGTTTAGAATCCTATAGGATAATCTTTATTGACTTCAACAATAATAACATCTCTTTATATGTTATAAAATTACACTAAACTTTACTATCTTCAGGTAATTAGGAAGCAGTTCTAATCTTAGACTTTAAAATAGTGCTATATGAAAACATGCCCAAAGTCACTAATTATCCGAGAGATGCAAATCAAAACAAAAATGCAGTACCATCTCACACCTGTCAAAATGGCTATCATCAACAAATCAACAAACAACAAGTGTTGATGAGGATGCAGAGAAAAAGGAACCCTTGTGCACTGCTGGTGGGAATGCAGACTGGTTCAACCACTGTGGAGAACAGTATGAAGTTTCCTCAGAAAACTGAAAATGGAACTCTCATTTGACCCAGTGATCCCACTCCTAGGAATATATCCTAAGAAACTAGGAAAACCAATCAAAAAGGATATATGCACCCCTATGTTCATAGCAGCACAATCTACAATAGCTAGGATTTGGAAACAGCCTAGGTGCCCATCAGCAGATGATTGGATCAAAAAACTATGGTACATCTACACAATGAAATACTACGCTGCCATAAAAAAGAAGGAATTCCAGCCCGGCTAGCTCAGTCGGTAGAGCATGAGACTCTTAAAAAAGAAGGAATTCTTATCATTTGCAGCGACCTGGATGGAATTGGAGAACATTATACTGAGTGAAATAAGCCAGTCAATGAAAGAAAAATACCACATGATCTCCCTCATTTATGGATAATAAAGAACATTATAAACTGATGAATAAAAAGATAGATACAGAGACAATGAAGCAACAGACTGTCAAATTACAGTGGGGAGGGTAGGGAGTTATGGGGGAAATAAGAGATCAACCGAAGGACTTGTATGCATGCATATAAGCTTACCCAATGGACACCAAACTCTGGGGAGGGAGGACATATATGAAAGTGGGAGGGGGGCAATGGTAAGATATGTACACATATAATACCTTAATAAAAAAAATGAAGAAAAAAATAAATAAAATAGTGCTATATACTTTGCACAGAATATAAAACAGAACACATTCAATAAATATTTGATGAATGAGTGAATTCTCAAGTGATCCAATTATATTTACATTTGCTCACTCATCCAATATTTATTTTATACCTAAATGTGCCAGCACAGTTCTAGGCAGTGAACAAAACAAGGGGAAAATCCCCTTGCCCACAGAGTTTACTTCTAGTGAGAGTAAACAAGCAACATGTAAACAATAAAACAAAATGTGAGGTGAGAGAGGGGTTGAAATCATAAGTACAAGGTGACATCTGAGAAAGCCCTGAAGGAAATGGGAAGCAAGCCATGTAGACACTTAGAAGACCAGCAAGTGCACAAGACATGAGGCAGGAACATGCCTGGCCTATTCACGAAATAGCTGGGAGACTGGGGGAGCTGAAAACAGAGAATGCCATGGGGTGGGTGAGGGATCATAGAGGACTCAGTTGGTGTGCTGGGACAATCTCAGTCTCTGTCTACTGTACTTTGCATTCTCGAAAGTGTCCTAGTTTAGATGATAAATTATACTGTTACCTGATTTTTAGGCCAATGAAAGAACTTGGACTTATTTTAAATGACATGGGAGGCTTATTGGAGGGTTCAGATAAAGGCATTAAAAAAATTAATTTTAGAGGAAGGAAGGGAGAGAGTGAGCGAGTGAAACATCAATTTGTTTTCCATACTCGCCTGAGCCGGAATTGAAACTGCCAACTTCTAGTGTCTCCCAGCCTCTGTCACCGACCATCCAGTGCTTGAATAATAAGCACCCCAAGATGGAGGCTACGCATGGGCAAAATAGCATGGGTTCTCTCTGACTAATGCTCATCTAGCCATTGCCGCTGCCACTGCCACACATCTGACCTGGCAGCAACAGAGATCAGTCCTGAGCTTTGGGTATGGAATCATCCCTTGAGGAAACGAATCATCTACTTAGTGGCAATATGATAACATCAGATCCTTCCTGCTCTGAAAAGACATTTCATCCTGACTGGCACTGACCCATGTTCTGGGTGAGGGTTTGCTTTTCTTGACAACAGTCGTCCAGCCAGCACCACTATCCAAGGGCTCAGAGTATCTGGTCTACTGATGTGGAATCCCACACATATCCCCTCAGACCAAGAGAACTAATTTACAGCAAAGGAGGTGTGGTGGTGGGCACATGACCTTGGAATTCAGTCACTGTACCACATACCACACCATCCAGAGAGCAAATGACCTGACAGAACAGAGGAAGGACCTTGTGAAGGGACAGCTAAGTGGCCAGATTGGAACTGGTGGCTTGTGGGGATGAGTTTTAGTCTTCAGGATGGCGTGTACACCATAGGATCTGTGTTCCAAACAGATTGAACACATGGGTCTTGAAAGTATGAGGGTTACCACTCACCGGGCTTCCCACTTACCCACTTAAGGAATTAAACTTCCCTTCTCTGGTTTCCAGAGCTGAGCATGCTTCCACCAGAAGGCACATGAAGGGACCCTCTACACTTAACGCTCTGGCTACCATACTGTCACTTGGGCTCCTCATGCCAGTGGACAAACAGGCAAAGAAAAGAGTTATTATATTGTGGGACATCCATAGGCTATTAATTACCCCAAAGTCAGCAAGCATAAGAGTGCTTCCTGGGGGGGAGGGGTAAAAAAACACAGAAAAGACTGCTCCCTGCTACATTAAACATAAAGGAATCAGCTTATATGACATCTCTGCAATTAATCAGAAAAACAATAATTGTATGGTTTTCCTATTAAAAACCATAGAGCTACAACCCATAAACCTCCTGGCATTTGTAATTTTAGCACCCCAAGATAATACTGTATTACCAGTTGATGCTGAATATTTTCAAGACGTTGTTTAAGGAGTTCTTCTGTCCTCTGTAAGAGACCGAACTCAGCTTTAAATTCAGCTATTATCTGATGCTTCTTTTTGAAAACTGTACTCTTGCTTCGAAGTTTGCTGACATATCGCTTGAACTGTAAAAGAACACAATATGTAGTTTAATGAGTAGAAAGGTAGTTGCTAAATATGACATATAATCTCAATGTACTCGAAACATTTTATTTTCTACAATCTAACACATGTCCCACGTATGTAATAATAACTTAGTTTTATTAGAAAACTTAAAAAAGATTAACTGCCTGATTAAACATACTTTGTGTATTTTTTGGATCCATCTAAATAGTGTAAATCCTATGTAAAACTCTATTACCGTCAGTATTTTTCCTTTTAAGTTATACAGCTAGATCCAAGGTAATTCTAAATTTGTAAGGTAGTAAAATAGGAAGTATAACATTTCTAAGATTTAGGTACATTTTTCCCCTTAAAGACTTGATTCGTCCCTGAGTATTTAAAAAATGCCCTTAAAAATAGTAAGATTAAAAATTCTTCACATAAAAATAACTTTTAATCCCTAGTTTAGAAATCGTTCTAAAGTTGATTTAAACTTTGAAAGAAATACAGAACACATTGTGTTTTAGAGGAAGGAAGTTCAAAATATTTTTCTATCCATGATTAAGTTGGTTTTAATATTAAGGAATTCAGCCCACACACAGCAAATTATCAATGGCTGGATTACAATAATGGTTTTAAAATTTTAAATTATGCCAATATACCTAGAGTCTATTAACTTGCAATTTTTCCTTTTAAAGAATAAATGTGTAAGCCTGACATAACCACAATCTCAGAATCCCTAGAGTAACTATAATATGTTCTATTAAAAGTGTCCTGGGCGATGTGCCCAAAATGAAATCAAACTTATTCATCTGCTATCCTCTGTATTATCTAGGCCAATTTCCCCTTCTCTATCTTGCTGTGCTCCAGAACTATTTTTAAAAGCTATAAATGTTTTTGGTAAAAGAACAAATCCACCAATTACTCCATGTGCTCTCTACTGATTGGTTGTTATTTGATTTTCATTGGACAAACTACTTAAGGGAAGGGTAGTTGGGGTCAGATTAATCATGATTCCACTCAATTAAGCAACAGGTGGCTATCAAAGCACTCTGAGGGCTCTACTACTCCAAGGAACTAGGGGAAAGAAAATGCATTATCCATGTTTTCCTTCCATTGCAAGTTCCTTCTGCTAAAAAAAGAGAAAGTAGCCTGGCCTGTGTGGTTCAGTGGTTGTCTGTCGACTTAAGAATCAGGAGCTCATGGTTTGATTCCCAGTCAGGGCACATATCCAGGTTATGGGCTCAATCCCCAGTGGGGGACGTGCAGAAGGCAGCCGATCAATGATTCTCTTTCGTTACTTATGTTTCTACCTCTCTCTTCCTTTTCCTTTCTCCCTGAAATAAAATAAAATAAAAAACTTTTTAAAGAGAGAGAGAAAACACAAGTCACTTAAGCCCCACTATCACCAAACCAAGACTTTAATACCTAACTTAATTACAATTGCAGCCTCTCCCAGGAATGGAATCTTAAACCAGTCCACCAGGAATTACCTGGTTACCACAATCTGCCTGACAGACCCCTGCCATCCCCTAAAGGAAGATGACCTTGCCACAACCAATCCCCTTTTTGCTTGGCCAGCTCCCTTCTGTCTATAGAAGTCTTCCATTTTGTACAGCTCTTTACAGCTCCTCTCTGACTAAATGGGATGCTGCCTGATTCATGAAGAGATGAATAAAGCCAGTAAGATTTTAAAAAATGTACTCAATTCAATTTTTTTTTAACATTTCTATCATTTGGATTCAGATTATTTCTAAATTCTCAAGTTATAAAAATAAAATCACGACGAACATATGGAATATAAATCTTTAGACATTTAAAATATACACTGAGTGGTCAGATTATTATGATCTCTGAATGCATAATAATCCGGCCACTCAGTGTATATCCCATATATTAAAAGGCTAATATGCAAATTGTCCCCTCCCCGTGGCCAAACTGGCTGGACTCCACCCATGCACGAATTCATACACTGAGCCTCTAATATACAGAGAGGAAGGGAGTACTAAAAAAAGAGAGGAACATTAATGATGAGAGTTGACTGGCTGCCTTCTGCACATCTCCCACTGGGGACAGAGCCCAACACCTGGGCATTTGCCCTGACAGGGAATTAAACCATGACCTCCTGGTTCAAAGGTCAATTCTCAAACATTGAGCCATGCCAGCTGGGTAGACACATTCTTAATAACTTCTACAGGACATATTTCCAGAAATGGTAAAAAAAAAAAAATAGGGTTTTGACACATTCTGCCCTTCAAAGTCTATTTATGGTAGTTTTTATAATTGTCAATTTTATATGTAAAAGAGAATCTTGCATTTAATTTCCATTTCTTTATTAGGGAATTTTACTTTTTTCTTGTGTTCATTGTACATCCATAGGGATTTACAATGAATCCTTAAGATATTAAGGAAAAGGCTTTCTATAGTTCACTCTAGCAGTAGCAGGCCAATCAGACAAATTTGTCATGTAACTGAACTATAAAGCTTGTCACTGAGCAGGAAGGTCCATTATAGCAGCTATTACTATTCATTTGGACCAATATGCATTTGTAATCTAAATTTGTCATTTAAGAAAGAGTAGCCATCGTTTTAGATGCTGAAATCAATAAGATTAATGCTTTATAGCATTAGCTTCTGGCTATGGGACCAATTTTACTGACTCATTTCCTTTGTGATCAAAACGAAATTTGGCAGATGTTCTTTCTCCTCTTATCCATTTAATATATTTTAGAACCTTTCATAGTAATAATCGAAATCTGGGCTAGCTTTTTAAAGGGCAAGGCAGCCTATTTCACTAAGTATGAAACATTTAGACGCCTTTAAAGCTTATCTGGAGCTCACAAGTATGATTGGATTCCAGACATCATTCTGGATATTTATGTAGAAACAGGAATCTCTATTCCTGCTGCAAACTTTCCACCTCAATATCTTACAAGACAACTATTTCCACAGGAATTAGCTGCAAGACTTTACAAGACAACCATATAATAAGTACTTTATATGGTCAAGAAGCTGAGGCCCAAGAAAGTTAGGTGTGCAATGAAATAACAGCAACTGTTCAAGAATAGCATGACTATACTCAACGGCTATAATTTTTTTTGCCCATTTGTCAGTGTCTTGTATCCTGTCTAAAATTCAGACTTGCAGAAAACCTGAAAAGACTATCTTTTCATGTCAACTTCATACCATAAATCATTTGGATTCCCTGAAGTCTGGTCTGAGAGCTGCTACTTGCTTTAAGGTAATAAAAAAATGTTTCACAGCAACCTTTGTTTTCTGCTAAAATGACAGTCTCTCCAAATCACCTATCATAACTAGTTCCATATATCTAAACACATACAAATACTATGTTAACCTTTACCAACCTGTTAGTATTACGTTTTAAACTTTAAATTAGAAAGATCTCACCAAGCAAAGCATAAACAATATAATTGCCTCCATATGGCAGTGTATAATTAACTAATTCTTGAGAGTTTATAATAAGCAATATGATACATTCTGGTAGAAAATTGTTTAACAGAAACTTGTGGCACAGGAACACCAATCTGTGAAACACAGTCAATCATAAATCCCAAGGTTTCTATGCTTCTATTATAAATCAAGTCACCACCACACAGCTGCTACTATATCTGGATGGGGTTTTCAACTGTTGTCTAAGCAGTTAAATCTCACAAACAAATTTCTTTGAAAATTTTTCAAATTCAGGGTTAAAATTGTGGAATTACCTAGATTGCATATGTAATATACCACTTCTATTACAGTGCTCTGAGCCTAATTTATTTGATTCTGTTTTGTTCCAACTCTTAGAAAATTTTAGGGGCCTCAGGTCCTGCTATGAACTCTAAAGAGCACAATGTGATTTGAAGGGTTCTAAAAATATCACAGGTTTGCCTTTGCTCACTTGGAAGGGTGATGATTCAATTACAAGTGTCAAAATTTGATTCCTAATTTTTCGGGATCTGACAGCTGAAGTAAATCTTGCCAGGATTTCCTTATCTTCATTGTGCTTCTCTTTGAAGTATTTAAAGATTTCATAATCTTTGCAATTTAGCTCTAGGATTTTAGGATTGCAGTTGGTAGCTGTAGAATGAATTGGTTGGGTCTTAAAATATATATATATCAGAGAAGAAGGCAGAGGGAGAGAAAGACAGAAACATCAATGATGAAAGGGAATCATTGATCAGCTGCATGCCCCACACTGGGGATCAAGCCCGCAACTCAGGAATGTGTCCTGACTGAGAATCGAACTATGACCTGGTTCATAGGTTGACACACAACCACTGAGTCATGCCAGCTGGGCTTGGTTGGGCCTTTTTAAAGCGGCTTATAAATATTATTTGAGTAAGCACATTTTGTAAGTAGATATTGACAGCAAAACTGATGAGCTCTTGTAACGGTTAGGGGAGAAATCACAATGGACTCTGTACCCATGCACCACAAACCAGGAAAGAGCTTTCAATGCATGAAGCGCCAACAGAACCTTAACCAGAGGTTCATTGTTGCTATAAAAAAGTTCAGACCTAAAAGGCATGCATTCATCATCTGAATGACAGCTCTGGGAAGGGGGCACTGCATCACTGGGGCTGCTTTTTGTTTGCTTTGCTAATAGAGATCAGGGTGATTAAGACAGTAGCCACGTAGCACTACTACAAGAAGCACAAGTTCTATTTTTTGCTCTTACAGTAAGTAAAACAAGTCATCAAGCTCAGATTGCCTAAAAAGCGAAAAACTCATCACTTACCAAAAGAACTAACTTAGAGGCTATCATATTAAATGGCAAATACAGGCTTATGGCCAGGCATTAATTTATTTACTAGAGGCCCAGAGAATGAAATTTGTGCACAGGTAGGGTCCGTAGGCCTGGCCAGAGAGCAGGTCCAATTTCCAGGGTAACCGGCAGGGTGATCAGGTTCTCGCTTGTATCTGCCTTGACCAGCAGGGCACCACCCACTCACCAGCACTGCTCCCTTAACCCCCCACCTGCTTCTGTTGCCGGTCATCTCCCTCTGTGGGGCAACTGGTGGAGCAATTGGGGCAGAGAGGGCCCCCTCCCTGGCACCCGCCTTTATTGGCCTGGGGCCTGCAGGCTGGAGGAAGCTCCTGCGTTAAACATCTACACCCTGGTGGTCAGTGTGCATCATAGTGACCAGTCATTCCACTGGTTGTTCTGCCATTTGGTAGATTTGCATATTAGGCTTTAATTATATAAGATTTATAAAAATACTCACCTAAGTACATGCTTTTTTATTGATTTGAGAGAGAGAGAGAGGAAAGAAGAGGGGGAGAGAGAGAACATTGATGTGAGAGCAAAACATTGACCCCCAACAGAGGATGGAACCTGCAATCCAGGTATGTGCCCTGACTCAGATTCGAATCTGGAACCTTTCCACACACAGAGGATAATGTTCAACCAATTGAACCTCACTGTCCAGGGCTATGGGCAGATATTTTAAAAATATATTTTATTGATTTTTTACAGAGAGGAAGGGAGAGAGAGAGAGAGCTAGAAACGTCAATGAGAGAGAAATATCGAGCAGCTGCCTCTTGCACACCCCCTACCTACCGGGGATGTGCCCGCAACCAATGTACATGCCCTTGCCCGGAATCGAACCTGGGACCTTTCAGTCCGCAGACCGACGCTCTACCACTGAGCCAAACCGGTTTCGGCTATGGGCAGATATTTTAAAAAATTATTTTGTCTATACAATGAAATAAACTACCATGTTTAGGATGAAGAATTACATAAAATAATTTTTTTTATCAACTGAAGTACCATGATATTTTTAATATTTTCATCTTTCTATGAAAGAATATGTCTATATTAGATTATATTAGTTATACATCTTTATCTGGGTTTTCTATACATTTACTGAGTGCCTATTACAGGCCAACTATCAAGTAAATGGTAGTGAGCATGAGATATGCCCCAGTCGTCATGGAGCTGACTGGTTTCTTAGGGGAGGCAGAAACTGAGCAAGTGATCTTAACTGTGCTCTGTGTTACCACACATATGAATACATATGAAGGTTGTGAGGTGTGAGCTGGAAAAATAATTACAGGCTATGCTTCCTGGAAGAGAGGTTACTTAAGTTTTATGTTATCTTAAAAAAATCATACTGATCACAGCAACCTTTGACTGACAACTCAGAGTCATAATCATAACTACTATGCTTGCTACCATACTGTCTTTCTGTCTCCTCTCACACTGAATCTGCATAAAGTAAGATATTTCTATGTAAAGATCTTTAAAACATTCCAAATTATGGAACACTGAATTTACTTAATATTAAAATCATGTCCCAATATTTGAAGTTATCATAACTTGAATAACAGCAATAATTTGCACTTTAAGTGTGTGCAGTTTATTGGGTGCTAAGTATATCTCAACAAAGCTGTTTGGGAAGGAAGAAGAAACTCTGTGTGAAAAAAGACTCTGTATAGAGACAGTAACAGACTAGAAGAAAAACAATTATCTAGATTATGATGCAGAATATATGTAAAAATATGATAGATAGGGAAATACAATCCATTAGAAAAAAAGTGGAGAAATAAAATAAACAGAAAAATGACAGAAGAAATAGAAATGACCAAATATGTATTGGACAGATATTCAATCCAATTCCTGATCAAGAAAAATGAAAATTCAAGCAAAATATTGTCAGAATTCCAAAAATTAAAAGATTGAGGATCAAGTGTGGTGGAAAGTTTTTAAGTAAGAGAGGAAACATATACTCTTGTACACTCTTGGTGCCACAACATGGCTGGTGATCAAACCCGAGAATCTTTGGCGCAAAGGGGGATGCTCTAACCACTTAGCACACCGTCCAGGACACTACTACTTCTTGATACTCTCTCACCTACTGTGTAAACAGATGAGTGACAAAGAACATAATTTTTTTGGTGGTTACCATGTGGTATCAAATGAAACCCCAGTAAAGTCCATCTGTATTATATAATTGTAAGTATAACAAATTTCCTCCCTTTTGTCCATTTGGCCCATCACTTTATCAAAGTAGAAAATAAAATTTGTCTACCAAGATTTGTTACTTATAAAATTATGCTGAATGTTCTCCAATACCCTCTGTTTTTTTAGGTAACTGCCAAGTAAGTGGCTGGCCATTGCTTAAAAATTAACTTGATTTTATGATTTCCAAAGTTAGCTTTTTTCCCCTAAAAAAAAAAAAAAAAAAAAAAAAAAAAAAAAAAAAGATGTGTTTCCTGTCATCAGATACTTCTCCTTTACAATATATTTAGTCAAAAATAAAGGCTATTATCCAGCTGGTGTGGCTCAGTGGTTGAGCGTCAACCTTTGAAACAGGAGGTCATGGTTTGATTCCCAGTCAGGGCACATGCACAGGTTTCAGGCTTAGAGCCCAGTAGGGGGCATGCAGGAGGCAGCCAATCAATAATTCTCTCTCCCTCTCCCTTCCTCTCTGAAATCAATAAAAAAAAATATATTTTTTAAAAACTTAAAAATAAATAAAGGCTAATATTATAGTTTGGAATTAGATTCTTATGCCTCTATTTGCATACAGGGAATAGCTAACGCTGAATTATAAGCACTACTCATGCCAAATGTGGCCATAGCAATTACTATTTCCTGTCAATTGGGCAGCATTTTCTTAAGAATAGATAAAAATGCTAGAAGATAACATGTTCTCTTATAAAGTAAAATTGCTACATAATTAATCTTTTTTTTTTTTTTCTTGGCTAGCAAGGATATCACGAAGCACATGCTGTTGGCTTCCAAGTATCATTTAAAAAACTCCCATTTCTCAAAGCAATCTGGAAGTGGATGTTAAAAGCCAAAGGAATGTTTCAATCAAGCGTTGACTTTTGAAAACCTACCACTTCCCCAATAAGTGAAAAGGCATATTGGGAGGTTACAACTAAAAAGAAGCACAACAGAGAAGTGTTTGGCACAGTGAAGGTTCAAGGCAAATTTGTAACAGTATGAATTCAACAACTTTTGAAAGCCAAAATGAGGTCTGGACAGAGAAGCTTTTAAAAATAGCCTTTGCTGAGGCCTCTTAAAAGCTGTAAGAGGTGGTAAAATACAAGCAATGTTTAAGATTAAATGTGATCTACCATTTGATTTGCTTTAAAAAAAAGAAAAAAGAAAAAAGCACTGAGCTGATAAGATATTTTCCTTCCTTCCTTCTTTTTTGAGCTAACTTTATAAAAGGAGATGGGGAATTATATTTTTGGTACTTAAGTTTAATCACCTATAAATGACAATTATTACTTGTCCCACTTCTAATCTTATGAGCTTGACAAAATGGCAAGTAATAGCTGTTAAAGCACTGTTCAAAATTTAAAGTGTATGTAGCAATGCAAGATATAACTGTATTTTTAAACTTTGTAAATATCCACAATGAAGTCACTTTAATGGTGTAAGTGCAACTGGTCAAACACACATTACTGACAAAGTTACTTAGTGGTGATTGTTCTTAGCTCTCTATGAAATTACATTTATCAACAATTATGAATTTTTTTTCTTATCTGATCCTACTCTTTTGATTTAAGCTTTATAAAATAAATCCAGTATAAAACCACTTAATTAAAGAGTGAAAATTTGGAATATTAGCTCATAAAATCATTAAGATCTGTCATTGTACATCAAGAATTTCTTAATATTACTACACAGAGTTTTCAGTTACATATAAAGAGGTTTCATAAAATAATATTAACTTCCCATTATTGACATTCAAGATTTTAAAAAGGCAAAAGCATTCACGGTTTCAAACAAGAACAATACTCACATCCTTGTCCCATGAGAGACTTCAGCTTACCTCATCACCCTTCAGAACTTCAGTGCCATCAAACTCCCGGGCCTGGTTCGTCTTCACAGACACCTCCCGCTCGAGGCTGGCTAACTTCTCCTTTGTTTCCTGCAGTTCCTCAGCTTTTGCTTCTTTTTTACGTGAAATGATGGATGCCTAATTGAGCATTAAATGCCAATGTAAAATAAAACATATCCAATCAACGTTCTGTCAAATTGTGAAATTCTCTATATTTTAGTTTACCAAGCTAAAATTTCAATGTAAGCATATCCACTAGTATGGCTACAATAAAAAAGACAGATAATAACAAGTATTGGCAAGAGTGTGGAGAAATCAGAAACTTCATACACTGTTGGTGGGAATGTAAAATGGTGTAGCTCATAGGAAAGCAGTTTGGCATTTCCTCAGTGTTAAATACAGAATTATCATATGTACCCGCAACTCCACTCCTAGAAATACAGCCACGGGAAATGAAAACATATTTCTACACAAAAACTTGTATTAAAATGTCCATAGCTGCATTATTTATAATAGCCAGAAAGTAGGAACAACCATCAACTAATGAATGAGTAAACAAAATGTGAAAGTATCCATACAATTACCCAGCAATAATAATGAGATATTGATACATAGTAAAACATGAGTGAACTTTAAAAACAGTAGGTTATGTGATATGCTGTTGGAATTAAAATTTTAAAACCTTATTTTTGTGTGACATATTCTGAAATATTTATAGATGAAATGAGATTAAATCTAAGATTTCCTTCAAAATAATCCAGTTGGGCTGGCAGTAGAAATGACACAACAAGGCCATGATTGCTGTAACTTCGGGAAACATGAGCGTTTACTGAACTACTTTCTCCACTTTGGTATATGGTTGAAATTTTCTATTGTAAATGGTTTTTAAAAATTCTAACATCCTTGAATAGTGCTTTGTTATGTAGCTCGGTGTTTACTAAGGTTACCGAATGCTCTTCACACTAAACTCCTGCCTGGGTTCTTTTCAGAATCCATGGCTTTCATCTGACTCTTTGGTTGAGAAATACATTACAACATATATAATCTCATGATCTAATAGTTGTGGAAAAAATGATAAATGCCTTAGCAGTAAAATTTAATTCATTCTATTCTTCCAAACTAACTTTAAACTTGAAACAGTATATTGCCATTAATTCATTAAAGATTACAAATATTTTTACTTATAACACTTAAAGTAACCTTTCATTTAAGTAATCAAATTCCACATTCACAGATATAAACACAAATAGCCCTATCACCACAGTTGGCAGACTCGAAGGAAACTAATCATTATCTGGTGTATTGCATTTCAAACTTGAACACAAGTCTTTTGTAGCTTTTTCCATAAATTCCTTGTTATAATCTGGAGATTAGCAATGACAGAAGAACACTGATTGCTTTCTTCCTTCTCACTTTAACACTGCAGATAACACAGCCTGTGGTGTTTATGAAGATGCTCAGAGCTAAGTGGGCAAAAAAAATGGGCTTACCTGTTGCCTATATAGTGAGAGTTTGCCTTCAATTGGCTCATTTCTCAACATTTTCTTTTCAATCAGCTGATTGATCTGTGTATTTATTTCATTTATCTAAAACAGCATGAAAATAAAAGAGGTTAAATCTCTCCCTATGATTACACAAAGCAAGGGACAATTGGCCCAGCCAAGCTTTGAATTTATGGTTATCATCAGTGATCAGATGGTCCTGTTGATGTTATTAGTGGGTTGTTATGACTACTTTTAGAAATAATGAACATTTTGTGGTTCATGATAAATTTTACACAGTATTATTACTTACATGGATTTAACCATCCATGTCGAAATAATCCTAAAGTATTCAGCATGAGATATTTATACATTATAAAAAAAGACAATTTTTTAAAATCTGAAGTGATCCTCTCTCCTAGCTTGTGACTTTCAAGTCACTGCAAGTGATAAAATTCAGACTAACATTCCATAGGGATTTATATAAGGAATTCATGAACCCAGCTGAGAGTTGACAAGGATGACATCTAAAAACCGTCCTGTTAGAATGATCTGTGGTTCTCCCAGAGCTGTCATTTATCCCACTCATTAATCCAACCCTTTCCCAACATATAAAACTGACTAACTCCACAGAAGCATATAGTCCTTCAACAAATTTTAAAAATTACATGATTTTCAGTATATCTGTCTATCTTCTGAAAAAACTAGAGTTTCCTTGTCAATTATAAGACATTAAATTTGAGCCAAATCTGACTTGGCCATCTAATTTCTACAAGAAAATTAAAAGGATAAAATGATCAAAATTATATATTTAGTTGTAGTGGCTGTTGAGCACACTGAAAGATTAGCAAATCAAAACAGTTCAATTTTCATATTTGGTATTTTAAAAAAATACACATCTGATTAGTATTTTGTTTCTAGGGATCAAAAGTGTTACAATATGATACCAGGTTTCAATGAGCATTACAAAAAATTTTAGTAATTCCAAAGCTGGCATAAAAGGCTAAAATATATTAGGCTTTAAATATAAAATTGCTACAATATTATTCTTGCAAATAAAAATTACTGATATTTAAAAGTTGCCATCTTGTTATATGCATACATTATATTAGCCAATTATATATTATGAATACATAAACCTATGAGTTTATCATATGCATTAATTTATATGTCCAAGTTATTTAGTTTCCTAATCAATTGACTAAGTTTTCATAAATCATGTATTCTAAGTAACAGCATTACATTCTGTAATTTCTCATAAAGAGCAACTCCTCATAGGACCTATCAACTCTTAGAGCAGGTTAACTTAAGAGCCAAGAATTGGACACTATAGAAAGCAGTTAACATACTTTACAAAGGACTAAGGATGAGAAAAATTGGAAACTATGAAAAGATGATTGTCACTTACTTTAGATTCAAGTTCAAGAAGATCAGAATGGCCCATAGCAGGCTCTGACACCACTTTTTGTAAAAAATGCAATTCTTTTTTCTTGTTCTCTATTTCTTTAGGAAATTTTTCAGTTACCATATATGAATTAAACTTTATCTCCTCCTCTAGTCTCTTCATTAAACCTTTGAAAATAAAATAAATGAATATTCAGCCCAAGAGAATAGGTACAGTGACATTCTGTATATTTTAAAATATAAGACCTGGCCCTAGCCCGTTTGGCTCAGTGGATAGAGCATTGGCCTGTGTACTGAAGGGTCATAGGTTTGATTCTGGTCAAGGGCACATGCCTGGGTTGTGGGCTTGATTCCCAATAGGGGATGTGCAGGAGGCAACCAATCAATGATTCTCTCTGATCAGTATCCTAGCTAATAAAGGGGGAATATGCTAATTGACCATCATGCCCCCACAAAAGATGCTGGTGCCCATAACAAATAAGGAGAGAAAATGCTAATTGACTGCCATGCCCTCAAAGACGGCGGCACCCACGGCCACAAGATGGCAGTGCCCAGTTCCCTCAGCCCTGCCTCTGGAGTCCCCCAATCTTCTCAGCCTCCAGCTGCCCAGGGACAGCCTGAGGCATAGGCAAGCCTCAGATGGTGGCTGCCCAGCTGCCCAGGGCCACCTGAGGCTCAGGTAACCAGGGCTGGCCAAGGCTTATGCTGCTGGCAGTGGCAGCAGCAGAGGTGTGAAGGAGCATCGCCTCCCCCTGATTGCTGGGTTACCTCCTGCCCCTGCGGGCTCCCAGACTGTGAGAGGGGGCAGGCCGGGCTAAGGGATGCCCCCTCCAATGCATGAATTTTCATGCACCGGGCCTCTCGTAGTACCATGAAAGATGGACCATTGAAGTCTTTTGCTCATTAGAATGATAATAAAAAAAGAACCGGTGCCAGGACCGGTTTGGCTCAATGGATAGAGTGTCGGCTTGGGGACTGAAGGGTCCCGGGTTCGATTCCGGTCAAGGGCATGTACCTTGGTTGCGGGCATATCCCCAGTGGGGGGTGTGCAAGAGGCAGCTGATTGATGATTCTCTCTCATCGATGTTTCTAACTCTCTATCTCTCTCCCTTCCTCTCTGTATAAAATCAATAAAATATATTTAAAAAGCCGAAACCGGTTTGGCTCAGTGGTAGAGCGTTGGTCTGTGGACTAAAAGGTCCCAGGTTCGATTCTGGTCAAGCGCATGTACATTGGTTGCGGGCACATCCCCGGTGGGGGGTGTGCAGGAGGCAGCTGGTCGATGTTTCTCTGTCATTGACGTTTCTAGCTCTCTATCTCTCTCCCTTCCTCTCTGTAAAAAAATCAATAAAATATATTAAATATATATATATATATTTAAAAAAAGAAAAAAAAAGAACCAGTTTGGCTCAGTGGATAGAGCGTCGGTCTGTGGACTGAAAGGTCCCAGGTTCGATTCCAGTTAAGGGCATGTACATTGGTTGCGGGCACATTCCTGGTAGGGGGTATGCAGAAGGCAGCTGGTCGATGTTTCTCTCATCGATGTTTCTAGCTCTCTATCCTTCTCTCCTCCTTTCTGTAAAAAATCAATAAAATATATTTTTTTAAAAAGAACAATTTACATGGAAGAAATGTTTAAATAATTACAGAAAAGCTAGTATTATGATCTTTCCAAATTACCACCTAAGCCCTGGCTAGTAGCTCAGTTGGTTAGAGCTATCCCAATAGACCAAGCTTATGGATTCCAACCCTAGTCAGTGCACATACAAGAATCTACCAGAACATAAACTGATGAACAAAAATAGATCCAGAGACAGAGAAGCATTGAACAGATCATCAAACTTCAGAGGGAAGGCAGGGAAGTGGGGGAGTAAGAGATCAACCAAAGGACTTGTATGCATGCATATAAGCATAACCAATGGGCACAGACACTAGGGGGGTGAGGGCATGTGCTGGGGGGTGGTGAGGATGGCTAGGGAGAAGTCAATGGAGGAGGAAGATAAATTGAACAATAAATCAATGTTTCTATTCCTTCCTCTCTCTCTCTTTAAAAATCAATTAAAAAACAAATTACCACCTAATTATATTTTACTCCATAAATTAATGCAAGAATAATATTTACAAACAAGCCAGATACAGCATGGGAAATATAGTCAATAATGTTGAGATAACTGGATGTGAGGCCAAAGTGGGTGTTTGGGCAGCAGGGGGACCACTCTATAGAATGGGTGGTTTTCTGGCCACTTTGCTGTAATCCGAAACTGGTGCCGAATGGTACTGAATGTAAACTGTGATTGAAAAGGAAAAGGAAAAGAAAAAGCCAGATATTTTGTTGAGTCACATTTTGCATTTAAGTAAGAAATCCAAGAACCAAATGACAACAAAATATAATTCAGCTTCTTTCTTCTATATGTGGTCATTTACTCTTTTTTTTTTTTTTTTTTTTTTTTTTTTTTTGCAACACTTCTGAGGCAATTTATAGTTCTATTACTTCATAAGTACTAACACATTATAATTTGTCAGTTTCAAAGCACACATTCAAATCCAAAAAAGAAATTATCTACATTCATGCATTTTTTTTCAGTTTTCTATGTTTGTTAGTTTTGATTTTGTAAAGTTTACAGTGAAATGGCAAGATATATTTTTAAGATTTAATAGTTTTCTTATTTTGACAGAGTGCACAAACATACACACACAGATTTTCAGTGAATAATGGTTTTGTTATAAACTCCCAGCCTAGAAAGCTTTTAAAAGTTTATTTCAGATCTTTCCATTACACATTTACAAAGTCTGGCTTAAGTTTTTTAAAACATTGGATTTCCGGTTTAAGTAATCTACGTACGTAGATTGCATAATAAACCTGGCCAAAAACCTTAAAAGTATTTTTAGTTCTGTTGTGCTAACCATATATTAACATATAAAAATTTATTAAACTCAAATTCGTGAGCTTCCATTCATCCCTACAACCCCACCCCTCCCCTTTTAGGGGTTGCGGAAAGAGAGGGAGAGAAAGTGTTTAATGAATCACACGATAATGATGTGGTTTCAGATTAAATCTACTTCCTGGCTTCTCTGGCTATTAGATGACTAGTTTTCTCCATCTTCAGATGACTAGTTTCTCCAAAGTTCTTAAATAAACCACATGTAACCAGAGATGTAAGGAATCAAAGTCTGAAATGTTTTAAAAGATTTAAAACTCTTAATTTTTATATACCTTATTTTTAAAAAGTTTCTGATTCTAGAAAACACAAACTAATCTGTAATGATGGCAAGCAGATCAATGGTCGCCTGGGACAGGTAGAGAGGCAGAAAAGGGAGGAATGAGACATTACAAAGAGGCACAAGGAAACGTTTGGGAGGATGGATATGCTTGTCATCTTGATGGTTTCAAAACGTATCGATTGTGCACTTTAAATAGGTACAATTTAATACTTGTCCATTTTACTCAATAAAGCTGTTTAAAAACATGAAAAACAGAATTTCTATCACATTTTAAGTTCTTTTAAAAATGTTAATATAGACTTTGAAAAGTATTCATATGTTTCTATGCAGTTTTTTATAAATTATCTTTTGAAATCCTGGCCTCTAAGATCTCAGTAAACTTTTTAATTAAAAACCCTCTGAAAACATCTTACTTCTACTATCACTGACTGAGTAGGTTCTTTTATGTAATAAATCTCACAAATGTGTAGAGTATAAAAAATATATTTGAATGTTTTATAATATGGTTGTTACTCTGAAAAAATACAAATTACATTGTTACGTTAAAAATAATTTTGCTCGGCCCAGCCAATATAACTCAGTAGTTGAGCATGACCTATGAATCAGGAGCTTACGGCTGGATTCCTAGTCAGAGCACATGCCCAGGTTGCAGGCTCAATCCCCAGTCTGGGGCTGGCAGGAGACAGCCCATCAGTGATTCTCTCAGATCACTGATGTTTCTATCTCTTTCTCCCTCTCCCATCCTCTCTGAAATCAATAAAAAATATATTTAAAAATAATGTGTATGTGAATAAAAACTTTTTATAAACCTTTTTCGGTAGTGAAGAATTTAGATGGATCTTATTTAACTAAACACCTGGATCAATTAACATCTGCTTAATCTAGTCTTTTTCTAAAGTGCTAAATACAATCCTTAAACTGTTTCCCAAAAAGATGTCAGCAAAGCAAGAACTCTTCAACTTATTCCCAACTCCCTGCCTACCCCCAAAAAAAACAAAACAAAACAAAACAACATATATTATATATGTAATACCTTATTTTTACATTTCAACCATTTTTTTCTTACTTGATTCTCCTCCTCTGTGTGGAAAAGATCACTGTTTTCCTATCCAAAGTCAAGGTCTTTACTCTCACCTCCCAACTCCTTAACAGACTTTACTGAGTGCCTATATGTGTAATCTAACGTGCAAGGGCCTGGAAGTAGACCAATTATGACTTGGTGACTTGCTTGAAGTTTAGCTGAGTCAGAGTTAGATATGCCAACCATTAACCCATTGCGGTACTGTTATAGAAGATTCAATGCAATGCAGGGCATGGGGATACAATTGGGAAGGCTGCTATCAATTCTCACCATTTCCTCCTAAATCTTCAATTTGCCTGGCTCTTTCCTTCAGCACGTAACCACCGCTCCCCTACTATCCTCCTGCAGTCTAGGCACAGTGCTATCGCATTCATTCGCACACTCCCTCTCCTGCCCTCTTTTCGAACACAAGCCGTCAGGAGAGGCTTTACCTTCAGCTACTAGGATCTTCATCCATCATTTGCTCAGCCCACCCTCTTTATGTCACTGCACCTTGGACTGGAATGTCTCCCACTGCTTCACCTTTCCAGCTTTAACTCAGTGAGCACAATGTCCAGGAAGTCATTTGTCTCTGTTAGCGTGTGGTGCTCTGCCTCTTTGTTCTCACAGAACCCTATGCTGAGCTTCATCAGCAAATTCGTCACATTGTACACTGCTGGTCACTCCTCCATTACACAGTGAGTAAGTTGAAGAGATACTAGAGGCCTGGTGAATGAATTCGTGCACCAGTGGGGTCCCTCGGCCTGCCCTGCAGATTGGGCCAAAACCGGCTCTCCAACATCCTCAGAGGGGTCCCAGATTTTGAGAGAGTACAGGCTAGGCTGAGGGAACCCACCAGTGCACAATCAAGGTCGGGGAGGGACTACAGGAGGGACTACAGGAGGGCTCGAGGGAGTATCCGGCCCATCTTGCTCAGTCCTGATCAGCCGGACCCCAGCAGCAAGCTACTGGTTGGAGCGTCTGCCCCCTGGTGGTCAGTGTACATCATAGTGACTGGTTGACCAGTCAACTGTCTGCCCCCTGGTGCACATCATAGTGGTTGAGCATCCTTAGCATATCATTAGCATATTATGTTTTAATTGGTTGAATGGAAGATCAGACTACCAGACATTTAGCATATTAGGCTTTATTATATAGGATTTCTGCTTTCTATTCCTAACACTTAGTATAATACCTGACATTCAGTAGATAATAAAAAAATACTGAATTAATAGACTGTTAGTTGAGCCTATTATTTTTATTACTACTTAGCAATTTAGCAAGCATGCACTAACATATTACTTACATAAATATTTTAAACCAACACCACAAGAGATGCCCTAAACAGAACTGTGTCCATTTTATTATTAAGTAAACAATTATGTATTTCCTGGCCCAAATGATTTCTATTTAGACTAGAAAGCCAAAGCAAAATAATAACGATCAACTCAAATTTTAAAAATGAAATATTACTAATACTGTACATATGTCTAGATATTCTGTTTAGTAGACAGAATTAAAACATAATAGCAAGAAATATTTAACCTAATAAAATTAAAGAATAACAGATATTACAGAAACATGTGTTTAGGCTAACATCTGAAATTGTATTGAACTGTACTGACCAGCCAATTATTTTTCTGCATAACAAATCTTTCAGTTCTTACATACATTGCCTTCATTTCCAAAAATTCACTATTAATGGTAAGCTCCAATAATTTTTTAACATGAGCAAGCCTATTCAAACAAGTCGCTTATTGACATTATTATTTTTTTAAAGATATTTTTATTGATTTCAGAGAGGAAGGGAGGGGGCGAGAGAGATAGAAACATCAATGAGAGAGAATCATTGATTGGTTGTCTCCTGTCCACCCTGCCTGGGAATCAACCAAGATCTGCTGGTTCATAGGTCAACACTCAATCACTAGCCACACTGGCCAGGCAGTATATGTTCTTTGGATTTGATATAGATTCTTTCACATCTTTACCATAAAAAATTAAGATGAGCCCTGCCAGCATGGGGTCATCTAATCTAAAATTAGAGACCCATGTAATTAGCATAATTGCCCAAATAGGGAAAGCACTCAGTGTTATTCTTTGTCTTTATAGCCCTGGCTTTAGAACAATGATTCTTATTTCTTTCATCCATCTTTTTCATAACATCCTAAGTACTTCATATACTCACAGATTATATGAGGGCCTCCCTCCACAATGGTTTTCATTCTCTTCACCCTCTGACAAAACTCTGACTGAACAGGAATTAAACCCCAGGTGAAGTCTTACAGATGCCTGTATTAGGGCTCCCCTTCATTAGACAGAAAATGCTGAGACATCACTTGATGACAGTTCTCATTAGTTGATTGCTTTAAGGGAGACTACCGATTTAAACTAATATTCTCTGATCAACTATGTTATCTAATAATTTCCACTTACTTTCAGGCTTTGCATCTGCTGCTGCATGGCGCATACTTTTCAGCTGGTTTTGTACTCTTTGCAGTCTCTGCACTGCATGAAATAGCTATAAAATAGAATTAGATCTATTACTTGCTTAGTCTATTGAAACCTACCACTCATACAAACAATGAAAAATACAAGTTTCACATAATTTCTGTGATATAAAGGAATAATAAGAACTAAGAAAACTGCTGTTAAATCCCAAATATAAATGGTTCCCTCAATACTGTTTCATGTAAAACTTAAAAAAAAAAAAAAAAAAAAAAAAGCGCTTCCAGAAATTAAAAAAAAAAAAAAAATTGGCTTAATTTGGTGGTCAAAGAAAAATACTTGCTAAAGAATATACGATAGTTACCAGGCTTTTCTTGTTGTAACCATGGTTTTCTTAACTTTAAGGACTGCAAGCATTCTCACACATGATGTCTCAGAATCAGAATTTGATGCCAAGTAGCCTCAGGGCCAGGCAGTGTAGTTTCTGCCGTAGTAGAACGACTGGGATGCCAAACGAGTTCTGAGAAAACCAAACACCTCAACTGCCCACTTAGAAGGAAATGGAGCTGAACTATACTTTTAATGGATAAGTCTACTAGTTTTAAGAACGACTTTTAACAAATTAAAAGTGTTATTTTTTCTGGCCAAATTATTTTTTCATTAAGGCAAAGTCTAAAAATGTGGATGGTGGGTATTTGGAGCCTTTTCATGATTTGCTTATTTACCGCTGGAGTAAAATGTAGAGGACACTCTGATCAGTGGAATAGAAAGGCTGTTATAGCCCCAGAATCTCAACACCCCTTAAGAGAGTCTATGAGTTTCATCAACAGTTTAACCTGACTGCTTGTTGATGAAACAATGATATTTGGTAGTGTTGGAACAACATGAGCTCAGCATAGGCCAAAAGGGAGTGTACAGATACATACTGAGTATAGAGTCCCAAAGGTCCTTGATGCTGTTGGCACCACAAAATACTCTTAGAAGAGTATTCTATCATGCTCACAAATCCCATGAACTTTGAAAATTCTTCTTTCTTTACACTTGAATTGTCATAAAGATCTATTTCTTTCATCATGAGAATATAAATTTTTAAAAAAATATATTTTATTGATTTTTTTACAGAGAGGAAGGGAGAGAGATAGAGAGCTAGAAACATCGATGAGAGAGAAACATCGACCAGCCGCCGCTCGCACACCCCCTACCGGGGATGTGCCCGCAACCAACGTACATGCCCCTGACCGGAATCGAACCCGGGACACTTCAGTCCGCAGACCGACCCTCTACCACTGAGTCAAAACGGTTTCGGTGAGAATATAAATTTTTATATGGATACCTGATTTTTTTGTTCCTGTTTCTGTTGTGCAAGAAATTCTTCCCTCTCTTTTTCAACTCGAAGTTGTCTTGCTATTTTAAGCATCCGCTGATGATTCTGAACTGTCTCCACCTACAGTAAGGGAATAAGTAGTTCACGTTACTGTCAGGTTAAGGCATGTCACGTGACTCCGACACCCACTTGTCACTTCCTTTTGGTAAATAATACTCCCTGGAGATGACAGTCAAGCTCTAGATTCCAGGTCCTTGAAGGTTTTGGGCTAGTGCCTAGGGAGATTCCCTTTCAGTCAGGGTTATTTGAGTCCCTCCTCAGATTGAATCCATGCCCTGCTTAATCTTTATTTGCATTCCTAAGTCTTTGCAAGTGCTTAACACTTGTGGCCGAAGTCTTACAGTGCTAATTCTTGCCTTACCCTTTTCTTCAAACGTTCAACTCTCTTAATGAGCTGATCCTTTTCTTCCTCCATTGCACTGATATCCTAAAAAGCAGTCAAGAAGACATTATCAGAAAAAGTATTCTTTGTAGAATTCAGCTAAGGGTTTTATATGATTATGTAATCTATAATAACCAGAGCATTAAGGAACAAAGAACCTCCTTGGGATGAAGGACATTCTCCCCCATCCCCAGTAATTTATTTGACAGCTTGGTATTCACTTAGAAAAGCAACAAAAACAGAAATTAATCCTAAAGAAACAATCATAAATATACAAAAATGCTTAAATTATCTATACTATAGGATATTATTTAATCATTAAAATCATATTATACAAATATAACAATGGGAATATATTAATGATATAATGATTTAAAAAGCAAAATACAACTAGCTGATTTGGCTCTGTGGATAGAGCGTTGGCCTGTGGCCTGAAGAGTCCTAGTTTTGATTCTGCTCAAGGGCATGTACTGGAGGTAACTAATCAATGTCTCTCTCTCATCACTGATGTTTCTCTCTCTCTCTCCCTCTCCCTTTCTCTCTAAAATCAATAAAAATATACTTTAAAAATTATAAAAAGCAAGATACAGCTCTAGCTGGTTTGGCTCAATGGATAGACCTGTGGTCTGAAGGGTTTCGGTTTCGGGTTTGGTTCCAGTCAGGGGATATGCCAGATTTCGGGTTCAATCCCTAGTAGGGAGCATGCAGGAGGCAGCTGATCAACGATTCTCTCTCATTGATGTTTTTCTCTCTCTTCCCTCTCTCTTTCTCTCTGAAATCAATAAAAAATAAAAATATATATTTTTTAAAAGATATAAACAATTATGGATCGTGTGGTCACACACACACACACACACAGCCTGAAAGGATATACAAATAATTGAAAATTTTTTATTTTTTGTTATTTTCCTTATTTTCTATATCAGATATATAAGTAGATATAGATATATACATACATATATATGTATATTAGATAGAGACTCAAAATGTAACCTTTTAAAATTCATTAGCATGGTCTATATAGTATTATACATAGAACTCACTACGAATTTACCCTGGCCTCATTAATTTCTTCAGCAAAGAACTGCAAGGCCTTACAAAAGAAAATATGCCTTTTGCTATCACCAGTTTTTATATAGTTTTAAGACTCATACTGAATTAACTAAAACAAAACAAAACAAAACAAAAAACTAAACCTAATATTATTCAAATAAAAAACAGATTTTCTTTTCTTTACCCTTCTTATTTCTGCTGTGGAAAATCCAGATGTCTTAAGCTGCTCACATTCTTTATGCAAAGTTTTAAAGGCTTCCATCAACTCTTCATACTAAAAGAACAAGTTAAAAAATGATAAACTAATGACTAGACCCAGTAGGCTTTTCTTAATTAGGTAATCTATAAACTTATAATGATTACTTAAATCAGTGACTTTCAACCTTTTTCATCTTAAGGCACACATAAACAATGTCTAAAATTCTGCAACACACCAAAAAACATTTTTTTTTTTTTTGCTGAGCTGACAAAAAAAATAGGTATAATTTTTATTCCTTCACACTGGGTGGTTATTATTATGTTGGTTATTGTCATTTTTTTATTTGACAGTCTAAGGGAAAAGAGCTCAGTGCCCTTGACTAAACAGTCAGACATTGCATGTTATAAAAATTCTTGTGGCACATTGGTTGAAAATTGCTGACTTAAATGATTATGAACACAGCGTTTGAGAAACATTTATATAGGGCATAAAAAAGCAGGTCTGTAAAATCTGGTCAGTAAATCCTTCTCCTGCTTCCTCTCTGGTTACTTTCCTACCTCACACTCTGTATTCTCGCTATGCTGGTTTTCTTTCAGCCTCTGGAACATCCCAAGCTCTCACTTCCAGTTCACAAACCCTGTTCCCTTTGAGAATATTGTATGAGTCCCCTCATCCCTGACCTTTATAAATCCTATTCCTCCTTCAGGTCTCAGCACCGATACCATTTCCCACACAGAAGGCTTCTACAGCCCTATATCAGAATGCCATGACATCAAAGTAAATACATATAAAATTTCAGTTGTCTAGTTATTCATCTGTCTCCCTCCCTTAATACCTTAAGGCTAAAACTCAGTATTACCTCAAAGCTCTGGTGAGGAAAATACACGGAAATTTCAAATTCCTGGCCCTCTGTCTACTTTCAGCCTGACTAAAAAGTCCTCTGAGGTTGCAAGTTAGCTTCTTTGCCTATACACAGTCTTTTCTGGGGCTCAGCCATCCCAGTTCTCCTGAGAGTGTCAATTTATACTTCGGTCCTGGTGTAATTATTTGTCCTTTCCCTCTGATTTGGATGACAAATTGTATTGTCACCTAACTGATCAGGAAACTGCCCTACAGTCCCAAGCCCAGGATCCAACCTACCCACAATTGTTAAGTAATAAATTATGCTAAAATTAATTTCAGGGTATCGTTTTTTTCTAGCCACATGCACCTATCACTGAACTGGTATTTGTGTGCAAATGTCAATATTTTAATACATGATTGCAGTTGGATGCTAGTTAATAACTGTTTTCCCTTTTCCTGCCACCTAAAAATACAGAGACAGCAAATAAACTAGAGAGAGATTAACATGTATTTGAACATTTCCTTGAAATCCATTACAGACAGTTTTAAAATACTAATATGTATCAAATACCTGTTTATTGGTATCAGCCACAGTTTCATCCTGAAGAAACTCATTTGGTACCTCCAGTTTTATTAAGAAACGAGCTAAATATGCTCTTTTCTTTAGCTCATTAGTCCTCTGAAGAAGCCAGTGGAGCACAGGGTAAATTACAGGTTTACTTCCAATCACCAAACCCTGACGAAAGGTACTCCTATAAAAAACAAATAAACAAAAAGACAAACAAAAACACACACAAAAATGTGGGCTTATAAGTGAACCATGAAAAGAGAACATTTACTCAAAATCTGATTTACAGTGTCCTGATTTCTTTCCATGACAATTTAAAAAGGATAAAAGCAAGGCTATTCTAAAGTCAGTGTGCACATTAATAATACAAATAAAAGTAGGCCTTTAATGTATCCCTAGAATACGTGGGAAGGTTGAGTTGGAACTATTACCTAGTACAGTCAGCCTCAATACTTCACATCATTCACTGGGCAGGCTTAAGTTACAGTTTCATCTAGGATGGCAGCTAGATGATAAAATGGAATAGTGCATTTGCCTGACTTTTTTTTATTAGGAGAAAGAACTGACCCACTTACAACTTCTGCATGACAAAATAACAAAATAACATCAAAAGATTATTTTGAAACTCAATGATGTTCCGAGGTCACAGACTTAGGGAGACCAGGTAGTGCCTAGGAATGCTGACTATAGCCTATGAAGGTTTGGCTTTTAAGGAAAGCAACACATAATATTATTAAATAATTTTTAAAAAATAAATAAAACTTCTCCAAATTAAAAAGAAAAAAAGAAGGCAACATGCAATCAGATTCTTACATGTCTGTGGCATTTCCTGGAGGTTTGTATTTAAGGATACCAAGGAGGCTTAACATCCGTTTGGCTGTTTGCTCTGGCATCTCCTCTCTGATATCAACAACTTGCTAACAATTAAAGAAATTGAAAAAATGTTATTGTAAATCTAACAAAGAACATTTAAACTCACAATCTGCTAGAGCATAACAGACACAATGTTCTCTTAATAACATGGATAAAGTATGGAGGTCCCCAGATTCCAATTGAGGGTGTAGACAAGTCAGATCAGGATTCTATCAAGAATGTCAAGTGTAGAAACTCTCCAGTGCAAAGACATGAGCTAACTTGCAATACAATAAAACCTTTTGTAAAAGCATTTTTATTCCTGGATTAAATCCATTTATGTTTGGAAATGGGGAACTATTTTCCAAATAAAGTACAAGTAGATAATTTAATTTTCGAGCTAAGAGAAAAACTTTAAGATCATTTCCTGTTACTTTACAAACATAAGGCCTGTAAAATAAAACCTCATGAAAATAAAGTCCAGAGAGGTTAAATAATTTGCTCAAGACAGATACTGAGAAGCAGAAACTGGCTTTCCTGCCACCTTTTTCGTCACAGAGAAAGAGAAAACTCTTACCTTTGGGTCAATCTCAGCCAGAACATCATTGAGAACTTGTAATAGTTGCATTGGCTCCAGGGAATCAAATGTGATTAAATTATAGCTCTTCCTAAAAGGCTCCTTATTGAGATTGTCCACAATGAATTTGATTTGGTCACTCATAATCACGGTCTTATACTTTAAACTAAAGAGTAAAAATAGAGAAAAAAATTCTTCAATATAAAAGTTCTGGAAGAAAACCAGTATTAAAATCATAGGAAGCAGGCATAGTAAGTATAATCCTACATGGAAAAGTTATTTTATTGAAATAAATCGGAGTGGGATGACTTTATTATGAATGCTTCAATATATACTGTTAATTTGTAATGCTAAGTATTTTTATATACACATCTTGTGTGATAGCATTAACATGAACAAATGAATAAATCCCATCTACATTAACATCTCCTCCGTTCTGCTCCACAACTTCTACCCAGGGATAAAGACTTGTTATGGACTGCAGACATATTTCTAATTTTTAAAACTTAGCCCAGCTGGCATGGCTCAGTCATTGAGCATAGACCTATGAACCAGGAGGTCTCGGTTCCTGGTCAGGGTATATGCCTGGGTTGTGGGCTTAATCCCATATAGGGCATGCAGGAAGCAGCCAATTGATGATTCTCTCTCCTCATTGATCATCGATGTTTTTCTCTCTCTCTCTCTCTTCCTCTCTGAAATCAATAAAAATATATTAAAAAATTAGTAGCCCAGGTTTAAAAATTAGGAGATATTTTTGCATTAACATCCAGATCTCTTGAAAATCAGATCAGGCAACCCTCGGCCCCATTTTTTTCATGACCACACCCAACTCATACTGCATAGAGGCTGCAAGCTTTAGCCTGGCTATGCTTTCTTGGATTTGTTTTGGTTTCCTCCACCAAGCGACCTTCACCCACTGGATGTTACGTTTGGCCCTATAGGCTTTGACTCTGCCACCCTTGAGTATTTCAGGGCTTCATTTCCTTTGCCTTCAATAAGGTACCAGCCTCATGTTCTCCAGTCTCTGCCTCTCATTCCAAATCACCTGTAGGCTTCTCGTTGCCCAAGAGATAAAATCCTAACTTCTTGGATTTTGAGACTTTATAATCTATCGATAGCTCAAATGAGCCTTCCCCAATTGTGTTGCCAAATTGTTACTTTTCAGATGGAAATGGTCGCTGTTCCCTTAGCTGACCCACCTCTGCCTTCAGTGAATGCTGTTTTCTCCACCTAGAAGGACTGTTTTCCCTTCTCCCCTCTCCAGAGGTGCAAATCCTAATGGTTTCCTAACCCTACTCTTCACGGTAACTTCCTCCCGGAAGTCATTCTTATGCTACACACCAGGTCCTGTGTGGGAATAACAGGCCTGCCTTCCACATTGACCACTTGTAGTTACTCATGACATTTCCTCTTCTCTGCTAAACTGTAAATTCCATGAGGACTTATCTGTTATCCCATCTTTGAATACCCTCTACATCTACTAATAAAACAGTGACTACTTCCACCAAACTGAATGAGTTTGTTCAAAGACCCAAGGCCAAAAAAAACACACACGCACACAAAAACAACAACATACCACCCCATAAGTATAAGTAGGCTGGCAGTGAGATAGATCATAACTTTAAAAAAAACTGAATATCTGATTAAGTGCTGAAACAACATTACTAAGGTTTCTTGTGCCTCCTACATGCAGACATCATTTGTTTAATATGGGAAGAAGTAATCGAAATTTTGCAGGCAGGCAATTGTTTTAACTAGCAATTTTTAAAAATGAATTTAAAAAATGAACTAAATCTTTTTTTCAAAGTGTGTATACCTTTTTTGGGGGGGCACCCATATATATTTATTTTTCAATGACTTAGAAATTACATATATTATTTATAGAATACATTTACTTATTTATTTCTAAATGTATATAGAATACATTTACTTATATATTTACTTATTTATTTCCCCCCCTTTCAGAAATACAAAGCCCTTGTAAGAGTTACCAGGAGAAGAAACAAGCTATTTGGTTGCAGGGCCCAGCAGCTGAGGGTCAGCGCTAAGGACGAAGACGCTCTGCGCAGGTAGGCTGCCTGTGCCCAGGGGCTCGGCGCTCTAAAATTAGCAAAAGCAATTACTCTCCGTCTTCCAGGGGAAGGGTGCCGCACTAATTCACGAGCACCTCCCCTCAAAAGAACATAAAAACCCGAGGGGGTGGGTGGGGGCAGAATGAAAACCAGGGCGAGCGCTTAATCTGGCACAGAGCGGGGCAGGAACCACGCGCTCTGGACAGCAGCTCGCAGGAGCCCCCAGAATCGTGTCCCCCCCGACCCCGGGGCTCGGGAAAGGGGACCGGACCCCACGTCACACCGGCCACCTCGGGGCTTCCCGACGTTCATTCCGCCGGGGAACGGCCTCGGACCCCGGGCACCGCTGCGCCCCCTCCGCCTGCCGCACAGGGAAGGGGTGGGAGGCACTTTTCTCCTATCTCCGGGTTCGGGGAAGTTTCCGACCGCGGGTGGGCGAGGTTACCTCAAATTCTCTTCAGGAAACCACTGCCCCCACCCCCAGGTGGTTCCCGGGCTGTAGCGGGTTCCTAGAGACAAGCTCCTTGGCAACGGTTGCTAGACAGTGAGGCGCGTCACTTCCGGTGGGGGGGGCGCCGCGTTTCCGGGGGACCCAGGCGCGGGCGGGGAGTGAGGGAGGAGAGGGAAGGGCGGAGGGGTGGGTTCCGGGCCCACATGCGAAATGGGGTTCCGGGTCCGGAGCCGCTGTGGGCAGCCTAGAGAATTTGGGATTGTTAGCCTGGCGGTAAACTCTCCCGAACGTTCTGCAGTTTGCCATTTCCAAATTACTCTGTTCATTCACCAGACATCGGAGGTGGCTTCTTTGTTTGAGGCAAGGCCAGGGCGATTTGAATTGAGGAAGCCTTTGGCCTGGGCCTCGAATTCAGGTTTTTGACATAAGCATCTCCAAATTAGGTTAGCTGTAGGAACAACTGCGCAGTCCCTGGCCGAATTGAAAGAAGGCACATTCATCATAGAGATTTCAGCTTCTTTGTCACATTATTTGGGTCACATTCCCTGTACTGGGAATTACATTTTTTTCTTAATCCAGTACCTTTTTTAATATGCTGAGAGCCTGAAAAAAATAATAATAAAGTACATAGCCTAAGGCTCCTTTTGGCTTCTAAGCCTGTTTTTAGGCACCTGCATAAATGAATGTTCTCTTCCATTCTTCATGGAGCTCACATCCTTTGAGGTAGGCTGAAGGAGATTTTCGTGGCCAGATCACAGACAAGGCATGGAGGTCTAGTGGAACAGAGATCCCATTGCTCTAACAGGCTTGGGGGAGACCTTAGTTGGTGAATAGTATTTTGAACGTTCTCTCCCCCGCACGCCCTTAGACAGAATCACTGAACTTCATGAAGTCAATGAAGAAAACAAGAGAAGAAAACAAATTTCTCACACCCTAAAAACTTAGCTGTTGGCTTAAAAACAACTTAAAAGAAACCTACTACAGATTTAGTATCAGATTTACAAAAATACAAATTCCATAATAGGCATCTCCTATATGCCCCCACCGTGCTGGCTGCTGGGGTGAAGGGTTAGGTATTACCTAGTCCCTTTCCTCATGGAGCTAACATTCTATTATAGTGTAGGAAGAGAGACAACTGAGTCAGCAATTGATAGATCTCCCTTCCTCCAATTGATGGACAGGCATAAACTCCACTTGCAGCCAGACATTCCTGAGCACTGACCCACCAATCAGCACCTGCCAAATACCCTAAGGCCTCATTCCTAAGTCCCTAGGTCCCTAATCATAGGCCTTACATGAAACCACCAATCAGCCTGTGCTGAGTGCCCTAAGCCCTGTCCTCTCTCTTTCCTCTCCTTAAAGGTGCTTGTATCCTGGCCCTCGCTGTCTTCCGAGCTCTCTCTCTCTGGAAACAGCCGGCAGCAGTACTCTTCAATAAAGCCTGTGTCCTGGCATCCCGGTCTGTTTTATCTTTCAGCAATATCCATACAACTATGATGAATGCTGTGACAAAAGGACTCAATGATAGGGAAGCCCAGATAAAGGGTCCCAAGTTTATTTGGGGCTGAAAGGACTACACTCTCAGGAGAGGTTCCATTGAACAAAGTGAGTTTAAGGATCGGTAAAAATGAGCCAAACTGGAACAGAGAGAGTTTATCGAGCAGAAGGAACACAACACTCCAAGATGGGCCCATTGCTGGCAGCCTTCTGACTATTGAAGGACCAAGTGAAAGCACTTGGAGAGAAACTAAGAGTGGTCCCGGCTCATGGGTACCACCAGGAGGAGGCAACACTTAAAAACTTCAAAAGTTAAACAACTTACATAATTCTGGGAGAAACAATGAAAGATTCACACAATGGGACTATCTATTAATAATTAATTACTCCTGTGGCGTGCATTAGGAGATTCTCCTGGCTGCCTGGATTTGAATTCTGGATCTGTGTTGGGGTTGTGGCCTCAATCTCTGTGTGGCCTCAACGCTCTGGGCTTTCCTCGTCTATCAACTGTGGCTATGATAATATCTTCCTCAAAGGTGAAAATTGAGTTTGATACAGATAAAGTGATCAGAACAATGCCTGACATTGGAAAAGCTAAAAACATTTTACCCTTCCCCCCCTTCTTTAAAAAAAATGAGATGGTTAGATTTGTTCCTTTTATAGAGTAAGCTATATAAAGGTAACAGTGGCTTCTCCAGTAGTTTTAAATACCTACTCTGCCTGTCACTGCTATTATTTTTTTAATGTATTTTATTTATTTTTTACAGAGCGGAAGAGAGAGGGACAGAGAGAGACATCAATCAGCTGCCTCTTACACCCCCTTCCCCCCACTGGGGACATGCCCACAATCAAGGTACATGCCCTTGACCGGAATCGAACCTGGGACCCTTCAGTCCGCAGGCAGATGCTCTATCCACTGAGCCAAACCAGTTTTGGCTGTTGCTGCTATTATTGAAACACTACTTCCCAGTTATGAGAATACAGCCCTCTGCAAATTCAGGTAAGCAATGGAATCCACGCTTTGTACTCAAACTCAACCCAATCTTATACTTAATGCCTTTGCTCTGGAACACAAGAAAGAATTTGAAGCCACTCAGCCTGAGATACTGAGAAGAACATATTCCAAATTGAACCGAGAGAGAGAGA